CTCCAGGTTCTATGCATTCACTCACAGGCAGAGGCAGAGCACATCTGTCCTGTGGAGAAGCCTTACCCATTGATCTCTCTTGCAGAATGACCATTCTGCACAAAGCCACAGTGAACTTTGCTGAAAGTGGCAAGAAGGAGCCACATGTAGCCCCTGCCATTTCCCTTTTCCCTTCTTCCATGTGTGGATACCTGCTCAGGCACTGGTGGTTATTCACCACACTTCTCCCAAGACAGCTCAGCAGTGGGTGGAGCCTCACCACTCCCCATCCAACTCCCCTTGCCCTTTGAACCAACTCTGTGCTTTAGTTCAGTTGAAAACTGCTATTTTTTCAACTTCTCTTTCCTTTCTGGCAGTAAATTTCCTGTTAAAACTGTGTTTGGTTGCAGATATGAGAACAGTACATTTCTCATTCATATAAAAGAAGCTAAGGCCTTGGACCAGTACCATGGTGCCATAAGGCTTTTGTCCTTAAAGTTGCCTCAGAGGGCTATGAAGGTTGCTAGGAGCCAGATAACTTCACCTCATTCTTTCTGGTGAAGAAAGAACATGGAGAGTTGGAGAGATGGCTCAGTGGTTAAGAGCAGTGGCTGCTCTTCCAGAGGACCCAGGTTCTATTCCCAGCACCCACATGGCAGCTCACACCTGTCTGAAACTCCAGTTCCAGGGGACCTGGCATCCTTACACCAACGTACATTAAATAAAGTTTTTTTTTTGTTGTTGTTTTTTTTTTTTAAAGAACATGGAGAAATGGTGTCCGGCAAGATAGCTCAGCAGATTAAAGGTGCTTGCCACCAAACCTGACAGGTTAACCTGAGTTCAATTCCCAAAGCCCACAAGGCAAAGTGAGAGAATTGATTCTTGCAAGTTGTCCTCTGACCTCCAACATGTATTGTGGCATGTGCATGCCCAAGCCACCAACACACACACCATAGGTTTTTTTTTTTTTAAGTATGAAAAATGACAGAAAAAAAAATAAAACATCTACCTGTCTGACCCTTTAGAAAGGATTGTTTCCTAAAATCATCCTGAGTGAGGTACCCCAGACCTAGAAAGACAAACATGGTATGTACTCACTCATAAGTGGATATTAGATGCAAAGCAAAGGACAACCAGGCTACTACAATCCACAACCCCAGAGAAGCTAGGTTAAAAGGAGGACTCTAAGAGGAACATGCATGGAGGGCCCCAGGAACGGAAAATAAGATCTCTGGGTAAACTGGGAGAGGAGTAGAAGGGTGGGAATGGGGGATTGAGATGACTGAGTCGGGGGAGAGACAGAGAGGGAGAGTAATAAAAGAGATATCTTGATAGAGGGAGTCATTATGGGGTTAGAGAGAAACCTGGTGGTAGGTAAATTCCAAGGAACCCAACAAGACTCCTAGCAATAGTGAAGAGGGTGCCTGAACTGGCCTTCCCCTATAATCAGATTAGTGACTGCCCTAATTGTCATCAAAGAACCTACATCCAGCAACTGATGGAAGCAGATGCAGTGACTCACGGCCAAACACTGGGCTGAGCTCCTGGAGTTCAGTTGAAGAGAGGGAGGAGGGTTCATATGAACAAGGAGGATAAAGAAAATGATGGGGAAAGAGACAGCTGACCCGAGCTAGTGGGAGCTCACAGACTCTGGACAAACAGCTGGGTATCCTGCATGGGACCAGACTAGGCCCTCTGAATGTGAGTAACAATTATGTTGCTTGATCTGTTTTTTTTTTGGGGGGTGCCTGGCAGTGGGACTAGAACTTATCCCAGGTACGTGAACTGATTTTTTGGAACCCATTTCCTATGGTGGGGGACCTTGCTCAGCCTGATTCAGGGGGGTGGGATTTGGTCCTGCTTCAACCTGGTATGTCAGACTGTGTTGATTCCCCAAGGGAGGCCTTACCCCCTCTGAGGAGTGAATGGGTAGAGTGAGATGGGGAGGGCAGGAGAAGGGGAGGGAGGGAAACTGGGGTTGGTATGTAAAATGAAAAGAAATTTTTTTAAAAAAATGCTGTTTCATAAACTTTGTAGCAACTTCCTTAGATATCTTGCTTCTCACCATTAATTTTGAGGAACATGTGGCTGGATTTAGCTGGGAACATTGTTGCCCAAAATAAAGTAATAATGGATACTGATGATGTCACAAGGTGCTGTGGGCAGGGTCTCCCAATGACAGGGAGAACCTGGGCAGACCTAGACATAAACTGTGTGGAATTGGGGAAAAAAAACAAAAACAAAATCACAGACCATTCTTGCCTCCATGAATACAGGGTATAGCCCCCACTGGAGCCTGGTCCCAGCAAGGTCCTAACCCATCCTAAATGCTTCAGGAAGGGCCCACTGGGTAAGTTCCAGCCTGCGTTCCAGTTACTCCAGGGGATGTGAATCCACTGCAGGGTCAAGGGAAAGCAGCCCACGGGGAGACTGTGCGCAGCGATTGCCATTACAGGAATGGGACTTCGATCCTCTGTGGGACAAGATTGGGAGGTAAAGCTCAAGGAGGGTCAAGCCATGGCAGGATTGGAGCAGCTCTGGGTGGTGATCTTCAGGGAGAACTGGACACCAGACATATTCTACTGTGTAGGGCTTCTGCTGTATCCATGAATTCACAGTATGGTACCAGGGATGGGTGCCAGTGGGGGCAGTGGGGACCACCAGGCACATGGAAAGCTCCTGAGCCTCTGTATGTCTCCCACTGCCCCTGACCAACAACTCTATAACCTCCTGTCTCCATGTGCCTCATAACCTTACCTCTGACCCTGCAGTGGGATTGTGGGAAATGTGGTTTCCAACATATGGACCATTCCTCAGCTACCAAAGACCAGGTAAAAAATCTACTAGGAATACTCAGGGACAGTGTCTGCTTAGCAAGGAAGGGTATCACTAGAGCTGGGCTATCCAGCTCTCCTTCCAGGAAGTTCCCAGAAGTCTCAGTTCTTGCCTTATCCCAAAGTCTATCTTACACAGAACCCTTTGTCCAGCTCATGTCGCCTGGATGCTTAAAGCTCTTTTGTTGTAATTGATTCTTTTTAAAGAATAATAAATTATTTTCCAAGTCACCCTGCTCAGAAATCTTTTAGACCCTGGGGTTACACCTCTTTCCAAAACACCTTCTAGAATGCCCCTCTTCCTAATCTTTAAGTCTTGTGCTCATCTGAAACTGTGTTAGTCACAGGCAGCTCAGCCTGATTCTTGCCACTTAGACCTGAGCCATTGCTCATCACCATCAGGGTCACCCCTGTCAAACCTGTGGAATGTCAACAGGACTGAAAGCTGGGCCTCCTCCTTCTAGTGGCACTACCAAAGCTTCCCTCTTGGTGAGAGAGTTGTAGCTGGTTCTCCTCTTCCCCTACCTTTGGTCTTGATTCCACCTCCTCCTAAAGCTGGGCTCTATTGGAATTACATCTGGATTCCCATCTCATCCTCCCAGAAGCATGGCCTGTGTCCAGTGCTGGGCTGCTTTCCTGCCTTCCACAGTGGTCCTTCCTTGACCATGGGGGCTTTGAAGTCGTCCTCTTCTTTTCTTTTAGGCAGGATCTCATTATGTAGCCCTGGCTATCCTGGAACTTACAATGTAGACCAGGCTAGGCTCAAATTCAGAGACCCATCTGCTTTTGCCTCCATAGCGTAGGAATTAAAGGCCTGTGCCACAATGAGCAGCATAATTTGTAGCTTTTGTTGGCTTGCTTGTTTTGTTTTCTAAGACAGGGTTTTTCTATGTAGCTTGGAGGCTGTCCTGGAACTTGCTCTGTAGACCAGGCTGACCTTGAACTCACAGAGATCCACCTGTCTCTGCCCTCTGAGTGTTAGGATTAGAGGTAGCTTTTTGATGCTATTATAAGTGGGATTTACTTACCCCCTACTGCTCTGGTTATTTATTACTAATACAAAAAAGGGAATTTTATATATTCCTCCCTTATTAATTCTAAGCACTTAAAAAAAAAAAACCCTTCTCTTTCAGGTTTTCTGTCTCACAATCACAAGAGACGAGATAATCGTCACATCTCATTTTCCAGTATCTCGAAGCAAAGTTGCACCAGTCACCAATAGTGGGCCTTCTTAAAGAAACCTACTTGGATATGGTGCGTGCCGTCTGTTAATATTCTATTTAGCATTATTTTTCTTCTTCCTTTCATGTGTTTTATATATGCTCATTTTTCTTTTTCTTTTTTCATTCTTTCCTTCCTTTTTTTAAAACAAGGTCTTGCTCTGCAGCCTGCCCGGCCTTAAACTCACAGAAAACTTTCTGTCTAAGCCTCCTGAGCACCGGGATTCCAGGCATGAGCCACCAGCTCTGCTCATGAATGTTCCTGATGAGGCACTGACTATCTTAAGTCCTAACCTTGAGACCACTTCTCCCTCAAGTTCCTTGTGATGGAATGGAAAGTGCTTTTGTATGCCTGACTGAGGGGAGGCATGTGTGCAATTGTGTGTGCTATAATAAAATACAGCTTATAAAGTTTTCTTGAAAGAATACTGGCAGACCAGGGCACCTGGAAGGTATATTCCTGAGAAAGAAGTAGTTCCTCAAGAGAAACAGCTGTAGCATTTGTTACCAATGGTAAAATTCACACCTTCCTGTAAGAGTCAGACTTTGGAAATACTTGCTTCCACCACCATGAGCTTGGGAACTTCCCACATGAGGACTGCTGCTGAAATTGTCAGTGACTGGGCAAAAGGGACTATCTGGCATCTGCTCAATGATGTGATGGAACACTAGAGACACTTGTATCACTCTAGGCACAATATTTCCCAAAAATGTTTCCAAATGCCTACCAGGGACATAAGCACAGAAGGATAAAGAGCCACTGAGGCAAAAGATAAGACACAAGGACAGGTTGAGGCTTTGGAGGAGGTGGCTTAATGGAGGAACATTTGCCCAGCATGCAGGAGACCCTGGGTTCAATCCCCAGGCCCAGAAGAAACAAAACCCCCATTTCCCTGATCCTCAAGTTTGAGGTAGGACAGAGTTAGAACAGTCACATTGATTTGTTCTTTATTAAATGTGTCTTCTCTCCAGGTAATTTCCTGTGAGGTTGGAGTTTTCAGATAGAATCCTGCATTTAACAACCAAAAACTCTGCCAGCAGCAGAGTACCCAGGCGCCCAAGGAACCCTCACTGGTTCCTGTAAGCCGGAGATTATACAACTATAATACAATGCCACTTTTTTTTTGCTGAAACCTTGTTTTGGAAAATACATTTTCATACAATTGGTCCTGATAGTAATATGTAATGGGCTTACTGTTCTGAAATAAGTAACATTTTCATAAGTCTAAAGTTTAATTTTTAATAAGGTTTTCTATATGTACTGGTGCTGCTGGTTGGAACTCTTTAAAGCTCTCTGGTATCCATCGTTGGTCACTTTTGGGGTCCCTGAGATGATGGCCTGAGCTCTATCATGCTCCAGTGGCATGCTAAGCTGCCCTGCTGAGGCACTGTGTGAGCTGTGGAGCTGCTGCATGGAAAGGAACATCTCTTCAGATGGATCCTTGAAGAGGCCTTACCCAGTGTGTGAGTTCTGTCCTTGAGGCTCTTAGTCTCTGATTCCATCAGATTCCGGGCCAGGCCCACATGTGATGAGGTACACCAGTTACTTCCCTGTTGCTGTTATAAAGCACAATGACCAGAGCAACCTATGGAAGGAAGAGTTTATTTGGGCTTATGGTTCCAAAAGGCTAACAGTCCATCACCACCACAGCAGGGAAGAAGGGCAGGGGCCAGGCATGGTGGCAGGGTCAGCTGAGCACTCCTACCTTGAACCACAAGCAGGAAGCAGAGAGAGCTCATTAGGAATCACACAAGTCTTTAAATTCTGAAAGCCCACATTCAGTGGCAATTCCTCCTCCAGCAAGGTCATATGCTGAAGCCACCCCAAACAGCGCCACCACCTGGATACTGAATATTCAAATGTCTGAGACTACAGGTGACATTTCTCATTAGCATCGCCACACAAGGTAACCTGAAGGCTCCCAGTGTGCACATCCCAACTCTGCAGGCCATGGAGCATGTCTTCCCACCTTTGGCCCCATCCTCTGTTTCACATGAGTTTAAACATAATTTTTTCATTTCATAACCAAGTTGGCAGCTCTGCTAGAAGCATAGTGGGATCACATGAACACAACGACAAGGCTGGGGCTTCTCTGGTGCATTCAACTGCATTCAGTATTTGGGTACTGTTTTGCATCTTACAATGACACTGTGTATCTTCACAAGGGTCTTGGTCTTTCTGGTTAAATCCACTCCTGGGCAGTCTACTACTCTGGTTTCAATAGAGTGGACTCATTTCTCGTCAATTTTAATACTTTTAGGTTGCAACTCTTGAGTTTTTTGTGTACTTGGTTTTCTGGATCATCAAAAGTACTATCTGGAGATAATGGTAACTGTCACATCTTCATCCTGTCCCTTAGCTTTCTCTGTTTGCTGACCAGTGTCTTTCTTGTTCTAGATGGCAGAGAATTAGGTAGTGATGGTGAAAGCACCTCCTGGCTCCTGTGTTCATGTTTTGCTGAATCAGATCAGATATTTTAGCATTTACTAATAGAGTTATTTTACTCTAAAATGACCCAATAGCTAAAGAAGAAACCATAAAGTCCTCATGGACACACTGTGGAAGGTTTGATCAGACGTTCAACAGATGAGTCCCATCCAGCCCTGAGGGGGGCAAATGAACAAGCCCCAGACTGCTGAGACAGTGGCTGCTTCCAAACGCAGAGTGCAAAGATGCAAACTGACACAAGCTCTGAAATGGCAGTGTACCAGTGCCTCGATTCTGGAACACAGAGGGGTCTAAACATGAAGACACTGGCTGCCTCTTGACCCCCATTCTAATCCTCCTGTGGAGCTCCGAGACACAGGTGGCCAGTGCTCCCCTCCAGTAGCCTCTCAGGCTGGAAAACTCTTTTTTGAGTCTCAGGAGTTTCATGGCAGTCCAGCCTCAATGACCCACAAACAAGGACAGGTGGTGCATGTCAGCAGATCACTGAGTGTCCATGGTGGGCATCCCAGCACCTAAGGCTGCAGATGAATTCTGGGAGGCAGGAGGAGGCCAGGCTCCTTGACTTGGCTCTCAAGTACCACATGCCCCTGAGTTCTCTATCTTCCTGGAGCCATCCAGCTGTTTTCCAGGAGAGCACTCTAGTTAGTTGCACTGGTGCCCACGAACCAACTATTTGATCTCTTCCATGTTAGGGATACAGGGACATTGCATAGACAGCTGGCACTTTGCTTAATTTACACCACAGGTGTGGACAAATGATCCATCTGTACCACTATGTTACTGTTTCCCACTGCCTGTGGTTGCCAGCAAAATGCAGAGTCCATAGGACATGGACTCAGGAGTCCTATGTGGGGCAGAGGGACTTAGAGCTCAGATCGAGGTAGACGGTGCCTACTATTCTGCTTCATGCTGCCTCCCATAGGCAGCCTGGGATAGGTCACCATACCATCTGGTGACACAGACACACAGCCTCTCTCTCTCTCATGCCTGGCTGACTATTATTGAAGAGTCAGAAGAGCTGACACTCTCCCATCAGGATGATTGGCACGGCCTGGTGAAGCCTTGCCACGCCGCCCCACTCCCCCCCACCTCAGAGGTACACTCTAAATCTCAGGGCAAACTGAAACACATAAGCACCTGACCCATCTCCACTGAATCTGGTCCTCTGGGGCTGCAATTGTCCTGGTTCCAAAGGTTGAATCAGACAGGCTTGCTTCCAGTCTCCCATGAAGTGGCCTTCATGAAAAAGCCCAGGCCTGGCCAAGATACTAAGGATATTCAGCTGAGGGGTTCTGGGAAGTCTTTCGTATGGTAAAACAGCAGTGGCATGATGGCCATTTATGCCTTCTCAGATGCCAGGCCAAAACACTCCCAACAAGCTTAGAGAAAACACCAACTTCTTCCAGAATTGCACTGCTCTGGGTGACCTGGCTGCTGGCAACAGGTGCCCCTGGGTGTTTGCAAGGGCTGTTCCCTGTGTGGGGTTACTCTTCCTAGCTCTACCTAAATCTGGTTCCTTCTGTCATAGGTCCAACCTTTCCCTTCAGCACTGACCATCATTAGCTACTATTTCTCTGCTGCCTGAACTAAAGCTACATAAAGGCAGAACCTGTGCCTCATTTAGTATGCCACCACTACCAGGACCCGTACCAGGCCTTTGAAGAGCATGAGCAGGTCGAGTCAGCATGGATCCTGTGCTAGCATGGAGCTCCAAACAGATGACCAATGGGTAACTGGGTTGGGTTAGTACTGTGATAACTGGGTAGTTACGGCACTTGCTACAGACCCTGGGGAACAAAGACCCCCACAACCTGCCTCTGGCTTATGGCATTTGTTTTCATCTGCAAAGGAGAACTGTCTCTCTCCCATTCACACCAGAGAGAGCAAAGTTGGCTTCCAGGCAATAATGGAAAGAACATTTAATATCAAAAGCCGTTTCAAGTATCATGGAAGTAACTATTCTGGAGAGTGGATTCTGGAATCTTCTCACTAGGAGTTGCCCTGGAGTCCCTGGCATTAATGCTAGAGATGGGGGTCCTAAGGTCTCCCAGGGCCACTGGGGTCCTGGAAAGCCCTTCAGAGAAGCTCAGAGGCCAGATTGAAGCCTGTCCCCTTTCTGGAACTCTGCCTGGGTAGGCGTGGCCCTGAGCCTGGGTGGGCCCCCAGACAGACTATGCAGCACCTGGCATCCTCTCCATGGCCTAGACATTGGACTTGGCGATGATCTTCTCCAGCAAGCTCATCATTCGCTCCTGAAGCTGTAGGCTCTGAACCTGCAAGATGTTCTGCTGGTCTAGCACACGGCGCACCTCTCGGCATGTCTCCTCCATGGCACGGCTCAGCCGGCGCTGTTCCTCCAGCATGGCTTCCAGCAGCCGCAGCTTCTTTTTCTGGAGGTGACAGCTCCGTACCTTGCGTTTCTTCACAGGACGTTCCTCTGACCTGTGGGAGAGAGATGAGCTGGTCACAGGGCCTGGGACATGGGGGCCATCAGACCTTCCCAAACACCCCACTGGACAAACCAGGTCACTGAGGCCCATCTATGAACCAGATCTCAGCTCACAGAGGTGAGGAGGGCTCGGAGCTCACAGCTGAGAGAGAGAGAGAGAGAGAGAGAGAGAGAGAGAGAGAGAGAGAGAGAGAAATGGAGAGAGAGAAATGGAGAGACAGAGACAGGAGAGACAGATAGAGAGGAGAGACAGATAGAGAGGAGAGAGAGACAGAGACAGAGACAGAGAGGAGAGACAGATAGAGAGAGAGGAGAGAGAGACAGACAGAACAGAAGGTGCCAGCCAATGCTAGCTTGTGGGAGTAGCAGGTAGGCAGCCCAAGACCATCTACATCCCAGAGTATGGACTGTGTGGGCACACAATCCTGACAACACCCCAAACCCACTGGGCTGGAGGAGGGTGCTCAAGGGTGAAGAGCCCACTCCAGGGAGCAGCAAGGCTGGGAAGGAAGGAGCTGGGCAGTGTGTGGCATTTGGTACTCTTGAGAGAAGTGAAGTCTATAGCCCCCACTGGCCTGTGACAGACGGAAAAAATGTGTTCAGAATGAAGGCCTACCCTGAGCCTTTGTCGTTTGCCCCCTTCTCAAGAGCGTGTGTGTGTGTGTGTGTGTGTGTGTGTGTGTGTGTGTGTGTGTGTGTGTCATAGATAGAAACAGAGAGAGACAGAAAGAGAGGTCATCTGGGTTCCTCCCCAGGAGATGCCCCATGGGTGCTCTCTGTTAGTTTAAAAGCCTTTGCTGGATAGCAGGGAACTGTCCAAGCCTATCAGACCCCCCAGGCCTATTCTGGTAGCTGCCAGTGCCTGGCCTGTGCTCTATGTTCTGAGCAGAGTGTGTGATCAGCCAGTCTTGGGGACAGAGCTCCAGGCAGCTGTGTCTGGAAACAGGGCTTGGTAAGCCATGGGAACAATTGGCCATAAATCTCATGCTTTTCTGCTAGCTTGGTCTGGCTCTAGTAAAGACATTTTGTCTGGGCCCTTCAGTGAGAAATTCCCTCTGGGGAAGGGCTTTCTGGGTGAATTAAGCAGATGGTCCTCATCCTAGGGACAATAGGTTCAGAGACCACCATGGAGACACCTTTCCTACACTACCTGCTGTGAGACAGGCTTGAAGGCCCATAACTCAAAGCTACATTTTCTAGTTTTTTCAACTGCCTGACTCTTTTACCTTGGAAACCCATCTTAAATATCCCCTCCTCAGAAGTTTCTGCTCTGGACTCTATGGTCCAAAGCCATGGGGTATCTCCTACTTGTCCCCCAACTCTCAGAGGCACTATGAGTATCTTGCAGGCACAGGCTTGTGGCCAATACAGGCCTCCAGTGTGATGACAGAGAAGACAGATAACTCTGGCCCACTCACTGCTCAGGAGACGCAGACTTACATCTCCATGTTGAGAAGACCTGTTACTGAGGTGAGGCCCATGTTGGGGCTTGGCAGGCAGGGAGGGCATGCTTGGTGCCTGGCCCTGTGTCTTCTCTCCTTAAGGAGTATTTATTTATCCCCATTTTATGGTAGGAGACAGAGGTCAGAGAGGTCAAAGAACTTTCCATGCAGGTAAGAGGCCGATGGAGCCTTGGACAGGCCCCACCTATCCACTGGCACTAGAGCTCTTGCTGCCCTGAGGCTGACCTGGCCCTGGACAAGGCATGTAGCTATGACCAGTCAGTGTAGAGGACACCACAGCATGCCACTGTGTCACTGCTAGCCCCTAGCTCTGAGCACTGGAGCCTTGGCCCCATTCACGGATGGGGCAGGGGATGGAGGTGCCAAGGCAGCGCTGGGTCAGGAGAGGAAGAGTGAATGCACACTACCTGAACTTAAGGGACAGTAAGCTGGAGGAGCTGTCGGAGCGATCGTCCTCGAAGCGGCCTTCATAGGAGCACTGGGTATACGGTAAGTACAGAGGGGTGGACTTAGCAGACGGCGACAGGGATGCCTCGGTCTGGGATGTGGAGGGCCCCGGCTGCTGGCCATCCGGCAGTTTGCCCTCACAGGACTCAGGGACCTTGGCCAGAATCCTATCAATGGCTAGGTAATAGGGCCAGTCCGGTGGGACGGACTCGCTATCTGTCATGCATTTTAATTTCCTGAAACGAGAGACACAAGAGCCAAGGTGAGAAACAGCAGGTGCAGCCTGTCCTGCCTGGCCCCTGGGCAGGGTGGCATGCAAGGGGTCTAGGTCCCTAGAGGGAGTCATGCTGACACAGGCAAGAGCCACTCTCAGTCAGCACCGGCTTCCTTGGCAAAATCAGCCAGGTTCTAGGGCCCCCCGTGACACTGGACAGAAGGTAGACAGGCACTGGGATCTGCATAGCCTTTGGGTGTCAGAAAAGAAACCCAAGCATGAGTAAGGGCATGCACAGGTGTTGGGAGCTTGGGGATGGTTACTGTGGCCTCTGCTCCCTCTATGAGTTCTACACTCACTTCCATGAACTGAGAGCTTTTTATATAAGTTAACCTGCGTCGATATGACTGTGTATGAGATACCGACTTAGAAGAAATTGCCATGCTGCAGTTGTATTCTACAAAGATGCTGCCAGAAGAGGTAACAGTAAACCATAGGAAAACAATACTCACAGCTCTGAGCCAGTATCTTAAACACACAGTGTGATCTTGGACAGGCTCGTTAACCTCTCTGAGCCTTCATGTTTTACGTTAGTAAAATGGGGATGAAAAAGTAAACCCTGCACAAGGCTAAAGAGAAAGCTTTATAAAATAAAGCCTGGTAAGAGGCCAGGCTCCAACATCATCCTCAGCCTAATTTACCAGGAAGGTATGTTAGGCCACATCACTGTAATGCTGCTGCCATTCCACCCTGGAGCTAAGCCTGACCTAGCTCTCAAATCTACAGCCTGCCCAGAGACTGTGGGGCTGGGTGACCGGTGCCGTCTCTTGACACCCCCTCTCTACTAGTGTCAAAACCCAAGTTCTGATCAGTGTGGCCAGTGTCCTCAAGACCTATCTTCTCCCATGGATGGGTCCTGTCTCACTGAGAGGACTGTCACATCTCTGTCCTCAACCACTCCCTGGGAAGGGAGGGCTTGGGAGACAAGGACACAGACTGGCTGGATAGTTCTGGTCTGCATAGAAAGAGACCACAGGCACAGTGGTCAGGAGTATTTCAGCCCTCAGGGCTACCTTGGGCTCATATGGGATTCTCTGCTAGGGCTGACCCTAGTCCCACTGGTCCCTGAAGATAGACAGGTGGCTAAATGAGCCCTCAACACAGGCATGGCCAATGACAAGGGGCTGCTTCTCAGGACAGGCTGTGGTCAGCCACAGCAGAGGCTGGTCTTGGGGGATAGCATCAAGGGCCTGGGGGCTCCACCACATGGAGTAACAGCATTAGAAAGCAGATACAGGTCACACAGGACAGGGCACAAACTGCTCTGGATGAATCGCAGGGGAACCATCAAGCCACTGGGGAGGGGCACATAGGGGAAGTGAAGTTTATTACTATTACCACTGGTGCCATGTCTGTCTTCTACCCAACCTCCTCCTTTGCAGAGAACCCCCTCCCTAGTTTTCCCTGCTCCACTTAAGCCAGCCTACTCATTGGAGAAATGGGGAAAGCCTGTCTCCAGACAGGGGAGGGGGCGTGCTTCATGTGGTATTCCAACAAATCACACTCCATGAAACCTAGCTACCTGTTCAGATTTCTTTTAAGCTAAAACCTTAATATATAAACAGCTCCTGTAGAAAAAAATAAGGAAAGACAATGCTGTGAAGGGGCTAGGAATAGATGGATAAAGAACTGGTCGGCCATGAGGAGCCATGGTCTGCATGGGCTTTATAGACTAAAGTGCTATGCCTCCTACTCCCAGACTGCAGTGGCTGTCCCTTACGTGCATCCTCATCTCCTGTGCCTCCTTGGCTCACAACCATCTCTAGGAATGGAGACAGAACCCGTCCCCTAGGACTCTAGGGGAGGCTTTCATGATAAATAATGAATAACACAGTTAGACACTATGAGCCACCAACTCAAAGAGAGGTTAAGGAAAACAGCCAGTAGCGCCCTCCTCCCCCCAGAAATTCCTTCCTTACCCAGCACTGGAATAGGTATGGGGAGCTAGGTCATGGCTGCTATCTTCATATGTCCATGCCTGCTCCTGCTGCACTAGACTTGCCTCTCAGCTCTCTCTTCATAAGACAGGCTTAAATTTAACATCAGTTACACTAAGTGACTCTGATGCCAGCAGGCCTAAGCAGCTGCTTCAGCTGCAGGTTTTGGCTCACAGGCTCTTCTGGGGTCAGCACTGGGGGTCAGTAATAGGCCATAGACAGGCCAGGCTTGAGACCCTTTTACTACTTCCAAGGCCCTTAGACGTCAAATCAGCAGTTAGAAATGGAGCTTCAGGACTTCATGGTCTCTCCAAGGTCTTGTTGGGCCTCCATGTCTCCCAGGGGCACAGGATCCATGGGCCAGGCAGGGTTCCCTTCTCTTTCTTGGGGCATCTCTTCACCCATGAGGGTACCTCTTTTCCATGGAGTCTGGCTGAGTGCCTTGCAGATAGGCCTGCATGGCCTCCACCAGCCTCTCCATCTGCCCAATTCAGCAGATCAACTACTAGTGTTTGTGAGCCCCTCTGAATAGCACCTCCCATCTCAACAGGCTCTCAGGCAGCCCCAGGCCCGGCCTGTCTAGTCTGCCATTTGGGGAGGTTCTCTTAACAACCGTCTTCCCTCGACTGTCTCCAACTCCTCCCGTGACGCTTCCCCTCCTAAGAGCCTCGTGCACACCATCTTCACTTTATACCACGACCTTCATCCACCCACTACTTTCTCAATGCCTCTACAATCTCCATCCCATCTATGATGCCTGCCCTGCATTACACTTTCCAGAGAGGTCAGGCCCACCAGCTGTTCCCTCTTGGATACCCCATGATCCAGGCCTTAGTACGAGTTCCCTCTTGGCTCTCCTTCAGCTGCATGCTAGGACAGTCAAACTGAGATGCAGCAAAGTCAGAGATCCATATGGGGAGTCCCCAGGACAGAGTTTTGTGGTGTCTGGGCAGCCCCTAAAAATACCCCTCTCACAAACCCTAAGGGTGGCCCTAGGGACAGGGCAGGGGCTCACATAGTACTCAAAGTCTCAGGGCATCAAGACCAGCCAGTCTTGGGAGTCAAGCCTCCTTTTCACTATACCTTCAGTTTCCTTTCATGAGACAAGGAACCCCCATACCCTACCCGACTTGGGTACCAAGACCAACTGGAGCTCTGAAGTCCTAGTTCAGGAAGCAAGGGCTTCAAGCCTGGTGCTGCTTATGTGACAACCACCTCTGAGGCATCATAGCAGGCAGAGGGCAGGTCTAATGCCAATCTTAGAACCCTCCTCATAATGGCATGGCTCTAGTCCTAGACCCAGGAAGTTGAGTTGAGTACATTCCCAGCCTTGCCACTTGAGAGTTCAGGACCAGTTTTCTGCTTATGGGCCTCAGTTTCCCTATCTTCCCAATGGGAGGCTGCATAAATGGTTTTAGAAGGCCATCTTGTCCAATGGGGCTCTAACCTACAGGTGGACCATCCATCCCAAGCCACACATACCCTCCCTGCCTCAGATCATGAAGTGGCCAAGAGTAGAGCAACCTGCCTGGACCCTCCCATAACCATCCTGCATGCCCACCTGTACTGGAAGGTCATGTTGGTGATTTTGATCTTGATCTCCTCGCCTAGTCGTCGCTCCCCAGTCATCTCAAAGAGCTTGCTGGCCATCTTCTCATACACCTTGGCATTGCGCTTGGTCTGCTTGAGCTCATCGAAGAACTCCTCCCAGACCAGCATGAGGCCACGCATCTCCGCATCTGTCCAGTTGCGGGCCCGCCGGTGCTTCTCCGTCTGAGGAGACACAAGGTAGCCGGGCACTTCGGCTGCTGCCATGCTGGAGGCACCTGCAGGGTTAAGGATGGCACTCAGGCAGGGCCTCAGGCCTGGCCAGCGCACCATGGGCGAGAGGCAGTGCACTCGTTCACTCGCTCGCTCGAGGCAGCTCCACGCTCAAAATGGGGCCTACATCTGACAGGCAGGAATTTAGTTAAAAGCTTTTAAACGGGAAACGTCATTTTGATGTCATGTTTCCATAGCAACAGAGCAACTGCATAAGCTACAACAACAGAAACCTTTTAACTGAAAGCACAGGAATCAGGGCTGCACTGACGGGCCATCAATATTGCAGTGAGAGGCTGTGCCCAAACCCACTGTGGCTCCTAGCCCTCCTCCCACCCTGCTGGCCCTGTAGGCCTCAGAAGAGACTTGCTTCAGCTGTACCTGAATGGCTTCTGCATGGGGAACGTAGGCAGTCTCCACCTCAGTTCCACCTGGTTCATATAGGCTCGAGTCCAAGGAGATCCAAGGTGCAAGGTCACAAGGAATGGAGGCCCTAATGCTGCCTTAATGACTGTTGGTGTGGTGGGGTCCTTGCTGAGAGGTCACTCTCTCTCTGAGACCTGTCAAGCTTTACTGAGATTGGTCCTCATGAGGCCCTGCCTCAGCATCATTGACTCTTTGCTTCTCTTGTTTCACTCACCAAACACCCAGGTTGTGTGAATATTGGGAAGCCAGGCTAATCAGAACTAGGACTTGCCCAGTCATGCAGGTCAGAAGGACACGGACACTGACCTTCATCATGGGTGGAAGCAGGAGCATAGCACTGATGGAAGAAGCAAACTGAACTGAGCTGAGACAGTCCACCAGGGAAAATTGGCAGAGGCCAGAGGGGAACTTCAATGGCCTGAGGCAGGGCACAGCTTGGGGCTATTCCTCAAGAAATATAGCAATCTTGGGGAAGGGACAGGTTAAAAACCATGTGGGATTAATATGTTCACAGGGATAGGCAGGGACCTCATCTGAGGAGCCAGCAGGAGAGCAGGAGTGGGAAATGTGGAATCTGCAGAGGAAAAGGCCATCACACGGTATCAACATCTAACATCTGGGAGGTGAGAACCAAATGCAACTCCGTGGGACTCCAGCTGCACAGGCTGTGATGGACACAGGGTCTAGCCTGGTCCCCAAGCAACTTGGCTAAACCCTCTGGTCAGCAGAGGAACAGTGTCTATCAGCCTGCCCCCTGACATACTAAAGACAGGAAGGGCTCAGCTCAGAGAAAACAGTGTCTCTGGGTTTCCTTTGTCTGTGGTAAGGAGCACAGTTAGACCTTGTTGGGTGGTGGGGGAGTACCCTGAGCTCCAGTCCAACATTAAAAGTAGAAGAGAAGCAGCCCCTGAAAGTCTTGCTGTGTCACTTCACAGGTCCAGGTCAATGCCTATACTTGCTATTGGGTACTAGCTGAACTCCACCTCTGGACCCTGGGAGTCACCTAGGAACCCAGAGGCATCCTTCCTATTGTAGAGCTTTACAGATACCCTGGGTTTGTTTGCAGATACCCATGACTGTTCCATTTCTCCTAAAGCAGTACTCAGAAGGTCTGCACTCATTGTACTCTCATTGCCAGTCAGATATTAGTCATGTCACACACTACTGGCCAGTTGGTTCGCTGCTGCCCCCTAGTGCTGAGTGTAGGAACTAGGTCTGGTTCTCAGAGCTCCCAGCAGTGTAGAGTGCCTAGAAAGTGCCTCCTCCAGGAAGCCTCCTTTTCTTTAGGCTCAAAACATTGATTCTTGTCGGGTGGGACAACTATGTACCTGCCCTATTGCTTTTCCTGGAAAGCACTTCACAGACAGCACTTTCAGCAGACAGGAAAAGACAGGCAAGCATGACCTGGGGTTCAAGAACTCTGTATACCAAGCTGGCCCTGAGTTTACAGAGATCCATCAATCTCTGCCTCCTGAGTACTGGGACTAAAAGTGCATGCTTCAAGCTGCTGGATTTTGAATCTATCTCTGACTCTGTGTGACCTTAACAATGGACCCCAGACTCATTTTCTTCATATCTGTACTAGAATAAAAGGAGCCAGCAAAATGCTGGCCAAAGAGCCTTAACCTCTTTAGGGATATAGGGAGGTCATAGGGTTCCCATTTTCTATCTCCTAGCTCCTCCCACAAATCTCCTTAGAGCCTCTGGAGAGTTCGAAGCCTGTCCAGGGGCTAGCTGTTGGCTAATGGATTTTACTGCCATTACTCAGGGTCCTACACTCTTATGGCTACAGAGGAAACACCTACACCAGCTGCTTGCCCAAGTTCCAGGATGTAGAAGACAGCAGAACCAGCGTGTTAGGAGCTACTCCATAGCCACACAACACTTTGAGTGGAACCTTCACAGGGGAAGATGGGTTCCCACCTCCTTTTCTCAGGCATGAGGGCACTAGAAGCCTCAGAACAAAGTGGCCTCTGGGGAAACCTCCTAGAGCAGAGTCCTTGCCTGGCTTCCAAGGACAAGAATAAACTGGGATGAACAAACCAGTTTGTCCACACCCCAGCTTCTCCCTTGAGGGCAGTTCCATACCTTGGCATAGCTGCATGGCCTGCTAGGACCCTCAGTTGTCACAGGATGAGAAGGCAGAAGGCTGAGGACTAGACCTCAGTAGCACCTGAAGGGAAAGTGGGCAGGTCAGCTTTAGAGGCCAGGCACAAGAAATGGGGTCAAGACAGGTCCGCTGTGAGCTGGTGAGACCTACTTATGCTCTCTGGGTCTATTTCCTCCCTAAATAACAAGTCTGGGGCTAACCTGAAACTTGTATTTGTAGAAACTGTTCAGGCTGTAGAAAACCAGGCTCAATTAAGGTAATGGTTGCCAAGCTCAGCCTGTACGAAAAGGCCAGAGCAGAAAGTGGGCAGCTATGGTGGGATGCCAGAAGACTTTTCAAATCAAGGGGCTGTAAACTGAGCTTGTACTGGTGGTTAAGAATGTAGGGTTGAAGACTTAACAAAGGCCTGGAAGCATATGAAATGTGTGCACATGTATGTGGCAGCACAGCCTTGACTAAGAGGTAGTAGATAGAGCCTAGTCTAGGGACACAGGGGCACTAAGGAGCTTGGATTGCTCTGGGAGGTACATAAGGTAGCCTATCTCAGTGGTGGGTAGTGAGAGGTGTTATGACCTACCTTAGAAATGGCCTGTCCCAGCAATTTCTAGGATAGAAGCCTAGCTAGGTACCTAGGTTGCAATGCTGGATATTGCTATCACATATCACTGAGACACCAGACTCTTACCCTTTGACTCACTACCGTTGTGGGCAGCTCTCTCCTCTCCAACCAAGCCCCAAATGCCCAGCCCCAGCTTGAAGTGAAGCAGGAATTCCCACCAGGACCACAACGTGGAAGGAGACACTTAGGGAGAGGAGACTCAAGGCTTCAGAGCCAAGGATGTGTGGAAGGATTCCAGGAAGGTCTGTGATTCTCTGATGTTGGGCCCACCTCTGCCCATGAGCCTTACCTGGGCTGCCCAAGTGGGTCTTCCAGATTTGGCCAAGCCATTCACCTCACATTGAGGAAAGACCCATACCTTAGGAAGCCCAGATGTAGCTCCAGAAAACCTGGAACCTGTCCAGTCCATAGCACACATACTCACCCTGGCTTCCCTCATCCAACACTATATTAGGCTCCTTCTTCAAGAAACTCCTTCAGAATGCTTTTTGGAAAAGTTGGAAACAAACACCAACCACAATGAAAGGCAGAGGGGGGACCTCAAGTCTGGTGCTCCTACATTCCCCAGGCAAGGGGGGGGAGGGCAAGACTTGCTCTGCTGAGGAGGGGTGCTCTGCTGTGGTGGCCAGAAGAAATAACATGCTGCAAACATCCCAGGGAGACTTACTCCATCCTTTCTGAAAATACCACCCACGCATGTTGTGTCAAACACCTGGCTAGCCACTGGGAGGGAAGGAGTGCTTCATTTCCCTCAGGTGACCAAAACTCAAGTGGTGCTAAAGACCTTAAGGGCAAGATTGTTGTAGTCCAACAGAAGGCTACTGAGACAGATTTAAGGAGTTGAAGTAACACCTACACCATCAAATGCTTGAGTTACTGAGCAGAGATCTAAACCTGGTGGGGCATCTATCAGGCTCTTCCTACCAAGGGTTCATCACCTGGTACAGAAAACGGACCCTGTGCCCTAGAAGGGCCAGCGGCATGCACTGGAGTGATCCTCGCACTGACTTCATCAGTGTCTTGTGGGCTGAGGGACCAGGTAGATATCTCCTGCCTCTCAACTGGAACTCTGATGGGGTTTTGAGAAACTGTTTACCAAACAGCCCCTTTTCTGCAGGTTGGTTAATAAAATGCCTGCACTTCAGGTTCAACCCAGATACAGAGGAAGGGATCTGGTAAGATGGACAATGTTTTAGACAAGGTAAAAAGGATTTGAAAGCTACAAATGTTAGGACAGGCATTATAGACACAGCAGTCAGCCTAGGACAAAGGTGGGAAGACCAGTTGTGTGTGTGTGTGGGGGGGGGCAGAGGAGTTCCATCTGGACCAGGAGCTTGACCAGAAAGGAAGAGTCAGAGACCATGCAAAGACTCCAAAGCCAAACTGTGTGTCCTATGTGATGACTGAGCCTCACCACCCCTCTAGTACCCTGAAGCAACATATGGAAGCTAAAACAATATCTAGAACCTTGCAGGATGGCTTAAAGTGCCAATAACTATCAGAACTCAGCGCATCATGTCTCCCAGACAGGGAGACCATTTCAATAGGTTTTGTGAATACCCCTAGGCAAGGACCTAACTCCAGACATCTAGGCTCATTCCATACCTAGTGTTGCCTGACCTTTACAGTGTCAAGACAGCTTGCTGGGTGGTATATTTGCCCACTGGAGATGAGCATCCTGCTCTCCTCAAATGCTAGAAAGGAGGTTCTCATAAGTAAAGCAAGCCTCAGACAATAACAGTTTATTTGCTTCTTTAATTCAAATGTACAATATCTGCAATTTAAAATTTTTAAATATACATTTCATGTCAGTCCTTCCTCTTGGAAGTAGACAACCAGGTGTGGGCTGGGCTCCGGGGTACACCCATCATAGCCCCCCTGGTTCCCAGTGGAGCCCGTGGCACACAGCAGCAAGGCCTAGAAAGGAACCCCTAGAATGCAGCCAAACCTCTGCAGATAGGTCTCTGCCACCATCACCTTAGACTCAATTTGTGGCAGAGAGTGTTTCCAGAGACACTGAGGGGAGCAATTCCTTTGATGGCACTAAAGTGTGACAACACACATAGAGGGTGGCCCTGAATCTTCAGATTATCTTTAGTTGTCACACTGCTCAGTGTGGGTTCTTTCCTGGAAGCTCCAGACCCATCGAGGAACAGTTCTCTTCCAACCTGTGACAATCCCAAGCTCCACCCAGCCTCAGCAACTCTCAGTGTCTTCTATTCCCACACACCAACCCCAAGAAGATAGCTTCATGCCTGTCCTGGCTGCAGCTATGATCTTAGTGCTCAGTGTTGATGGAGGTAAGGTTTGAACCCAAGTGAGGCTGCATGGGGAAGGATGCTCATAGGTGGCAATTAGAGACCAATTCTGCAGCCCCACAAAGGGAGGCAGTGCTCCTTGCCAGGTAGCTGTGAGCCAAGCTATTGCTGTGCAAGACCCGTCTCAGGGGCTGAAAGCAGAGCAGCTTCACTTACAGGAAGGTGCTTTCTGCCAGGGAAGGGGCCTGCTAGGGTTAGTGCCTTCTCTGGCACCACATTCTATAGGGCTAGAGGTGGTTCCACTCGAACTCTTCCCTCTTGAAGGGTACATGTGTGCAGACAAATATGAGAGAATAATAAAGGGCACTTGGCAGTTGCAAAGTCACCTACATGTCAAGGGGGCCAGCAGTGGGAGAGAGGCACATTTTGGAGAAGAAACATGCTGAAGTGCATTGCCAAATAGTTCTACCCTGGTTTCATTTCCTGACAGTACCAGCAGGAAAACAACATCCCACCTCTTGCCCCCAAAACCCCATAATCAAAATAACATTTTAAAATAAAGTTTGGAAATCCATAGATTTTGAGGAATTTGATAAAAAGTCTTGGTCCCTACTGCAGTCAGTCAGGTGGGGCAGTATCTCCAGTGGGACTTTTATGAGCTGTGGACTTTTTTTTTTTTTTTTAATTTTAAATTGAGTCCCCTTCTCAGATGCTAGAAAGAATGGTCAGGCATCTTACACAAGTCTTGAGGAGTGTGTACATGTACATGTGTGTACACAAATACAACTCTGGGTATGTATACACACAAATGTGTATACACTTGCCGGCGCCTGGGTGCATCTCTAGGCGGTGGCACCCATCAGAAGAGAACAGCTTTGTTGCAGAGGCTGTTCTAGTCCCATATTAAGAACTGTCTCTGATCACGCTATAAACAAGGGGCCAACTGAACTCCAGGTTGAACTCTCGGATATGAATTCCCAGAGGAATAGCTCCAGATTTTACAGTTTTCTTATAAACATCTACTACAAGCAGTAATCAGGCCTGCAACATGCCCATCTCAGAGCTGTTGGGCCAACCTGGGGGTGTGGCAGCAACAATCCAAGAATTTCCCTGTGGCCCCCAAGCACTTCTGGCAGGGAAATCTAGGTTAAGAAGTGGGAGCCCTAAATCAGCAAAGGGACACTGGTGACTTTCTTTCATTAAAATTCAGTAGCTTCCCTTAAGGTTTTCTTGAAAGACCAGATCCACATTCATGACACCAGGATAGCCTGGGTTGGCTTGGGGTGGCCTCTGCCAGGGCAGATAGAAAAAGAATCAGGCCAGATGTGAGGCTCCCCATGACCTGTGGGTGGTAGGAACCTTGCACCCCAGCTGCCTTTCAAGTGTCATGATGGGAAGACAGAAAGAGAATTCAAGGGTTTCAAGGCAGCACTCCATGGACTGAAGCAGTTAATTACTTTCATAGGCTACAAGCTCTTTCTTCCTGTGTAGCCTAGAAACTGCTCCAATGACCCTTTTCCCCTACTCTACATGGACATGACGTAGACGAGCAGTAGAGAACCTACCTTGTCATATAGCCAAGTAGAGCCCCTGAACCAAGCCAGGAAATCAGGGCAGCCCATGCCCAAGGCTCATTTTCATTAACATGACCTGGCTACTCTGGGCCTGGGCCTTGGGAAGAAGTGATGGCTCTGACAAGCATGGGAAGCTGCCCCCAGGCCATAGGCTGACCTGATACTGAGCCTTCCTTCCGGTGCCTCATCTTGTAGGGATGAACCCTCCCTGTGCTCTGATATGCATAGGTCTAAACTCTGCTGGGCTGACAGAAGGCAAGATGGGAAGAGATTAAAAAAAAAAAGGGGCTGGGCCCATTCTTAACAGTTGCTAGGACAGAGCAGCACTCCTAGGTCCTCGCCATGCAGAAGATACAAAGGGACAACATCCACAATGGCTTGATGGTTCCTAGGCAGGGTACAGCCCAGGTCAGCCAGGACCAGGATGAGGTTATTGGGGTAGCCTCTTTGGGTGCAAAAGAGGCTGTTTCTGGCTAGGCTGAGGGACCAGGAGACTGCACTGTTACTGTTGAGTAGACAGTTCAACAGTCATGCCTGAGGAGGGGGTGCTGTAGCAAGGCAAGTCTCATACAACCATAACAGTGGAAAGCAGCTCTCCTTAACCCCTCAGTTAGGCCACAGGCAGGATTCTCAGTTAGGGCAGTTGACATGAACACCTCTCTCTGTGCTGGTTAAATGTGATGCATAAAAAAGAAAAAAAAAAAAAAAAAAAAAAAAAAAAAAAAAAAAGGGAGATGTGTGAGGTACAAGTGCCATCAGGTGTTGGGAGAGCTACACGAGGGACGTGTCTGACTAGATTGAGTAGCTATAGGAGAGGGAGTGGTGGCCAGAAGGCCCATCCACTTCTACAAACTTTATCACATGCAGCACAGGCCTTGCAAGTCACACACTTTACACGGGCATAGAAAGTTACATTAAAATTAATCTCTTTACTGATATAATTAAATTTTAACTCCTGAGAAGAAAACAGAGAAAGGGAAAATGATGCTGGACACCTGGCACCCCAGTTCCAAGCCCCCACATACCACTCATTTTATGTCCAGACACTGGTGTGGCAGGTAAACCCTCCTGGGGAAATGTGGGTGAGAGCTCTCCAGCCCAGTGGGACAAGAGGGCTCAGAACCATCTGGCAAGAGCTAGGACTTCTGCTCCACATACCAGGGCAGCTGCCACCTGGCAACCTTGGCCAGGGGAACACTAGGAAAAAGATAAACACCTGGTCAACCTAGCACTGCCACCAGATGCAGCGAGGCCAGGTTGACCCAGGACTCAGGCTCAACCCCAACATAGTGCATATTCCTGCACAGCCCACAGTGCAAAGCACTCCTGCCATTGCCTGGCTGTCCACCTGACACAAGTGGAAGCCTGCATGACCAAGGCAGCCCCAGCAGAAGCTTGGCACAGGCTCCTAGAGGCTCTGGCTCCAGCAGTTGCCTCCTCTCAGCCTCTTGTGCCACAGGTACTACTCAGCAGGTGGTGACCTTGTGGACATTTCGCAAACAAGTAAGCAGCTGGTGGTAAGGACTTCCTGGTGCTGCCACCACCTCAAATACAGACTGGAAAGCCCTGCGGTCGAATTCCTCCTCTATCTGGTGTCTGTAGAAGTCTGTGGCAACCAGGCAGAAAAGGTTCACATCTACTTGCTCCAGTTTGCCCATCCTGCTGATGACATGTGGAAGGCTGGTAGAAGAGTTAAGGGGCACCAATATCAAGGGTATGAAGACAGCCTCCCCAAGAGGTTCCCTTCCTAAGTCCAACAGGCCCAGGGATTGAGGGCAACAAAAACAGAGGGCATCCTAGGCACATCAGCAGCTGCTGTTGCTTGCAACCCTCTCCCAGCTGCAGTTAGCTGTCTGCCCAGGAAAGTGGGAAGGCAGAGAGGCCCAGAAAGTGGGAGTCCTGCAGTGTAGACAGGATGCTGGTTCCTAGTGCTCTGTTCAGCAGCACTTACCTGGGCTGTGGTAGTGGCTGGTGTTCCTGCTCACACTGCTCCAGTGTAGGGAGGGTAAAGATAGCACCCTGCCTGTAAGGTTTTCCCAGCACTTGGGGTGAGGCTGTGCTGTTACCACCAAGACAACTTTGCTGCTCAGTAGCTCTCGTGGTCTACTGTGGGGGAGGTTGCCAAAAGAGGAACTCCTGGCAGTACTGTAGGGGCGGGAACTGCAGCTTTATTTATGACTTTCCCCATGAGGGTGACCATGGTATAAAGATGAGAACTAATGAGAAGCAGCATTGAGGAAACCTCAGAGGGACAGAGCATGCCAGAGGATAAGGTAGCCGCAGGGCCAGCGGCTGGCCTGAGCTGCCCTGCCTCCCCCTGTGCTCCCCTCCTATCCTTCAGCAGTAGCACTCCTGTCACAAACCCACACACTGGGGAGCCCTGGCTGACAAATGGCTAGACCTTCTGTTTTGTGTCCCTTTAAAGTTTTATACGTTTAGTGGCTGTGTCAGAGGAGCAGCAGGTGGCTGTTAAGGTTCGGGAAGCTGGCCCACCAGGAGGCAAAGCTCCGACGGGTGAAATTTTGTTGTTGTTGTTGTTGAGACAGGGTTCTCTGTGTAGCTTTGGAGCCTGTCCTGGAACTCAATTTGTAGACCAGGCTGGTCTCGAACTCAGGAATCTGCCTGCCTCTTGCCTCCCGAGTGCTGGGATTAAAGACATGCACCACCACCATCCAGCCCCAATGGGTGAATCTCAGATAGGCAAAGCCCCAAAAGCCTCAGCCCCAGAATGTCCCTTGCTATTGCTGTGTCTTTACATGTTTGCTACTGCCATTTTTCTCTGGTATCTGGCATGGTGTGAATGGGTGTGGGGAGATCCTCACTGCCCTTAATGTAGTCTTGGAAATATCCCACCCTACTGGGCATTTTTACCTGTGGATTATTAAGAAGGTGATTTCCTCCTAAGTTGTACTGTTTAACTAAAGCAATGACTTTATACAATATTAGCATCAGTTTAAATAGAATTTTGATGGTTGAGGGTTTTTAATAAACATAGTAAGGGATTATGATAGAGGTTAGTTTAGTGGAAAAATTAACATAGGCAAAGGCAGGATAAAATGCTGCCCCGGCCTCTGAGAAATATCCTCTGTAGAGGATAAAAAGTAAAACAAGGAAGTGTCACACAGCTAGAAAAAATGAGCTTCTATTGAAAAGCCAAATAGACAGTTGCTTAAGTTAATGATTAAGAAAAACAACTGAGTTCCAGATGTCCAGCTAGCTCAAATCCTTTTTAATCTTAATGTTGGGAGATATGTTCACAGGTTTCAGAGTGCATTATAGCTGAAACAAGGCTTTGAAAATGACTTAAGGTTAGGTTAAGATGTTTTTTTGACTAGCTTTGAAGGAAGCAATCTAAAGTTTTAGAAAGGCACATAGTTGAGGGAGGGACTTGTTAAGGTCAAGGAACAAGAACAAAGCAGCCCAATTATTATCAGCTGATGTGCCTTTCCTGCTAGGATTGGTTGATGATCAAATATGATTAATTCCTTGTACCCATTTCTGCCCTCAGCTTCTGGATATCTAAAAAAAAAAAAACCTGTTGATGAGTAGGTATGCACCCTGAGTATTTAGAGCTCACTGTTTTTCATATATACAAGTTTAGGTTTTCGGTTCTTCTAAGATTCCTTATAAGATTACTTTTTGAGATAAGCAATAAAGTGATTGATCCTTTCTTTGAAACCACAAAATTCAGTCTGCCAATGAAAGAACTGGCTGAGAAAAATACCTTGGTTGCTTATGTTCTGTTAATCTATAACAAGTCACTTGGACATGAATATATGTGGATTCTTGGGACAATATGTTTTTCATCTAGAATACGTAGGATGTTTAATCATGTAAGGGAAATGGGAAACACTTTTTTTTTTACCCGTATTCATTATAATTATTCACTTGAAAAATAGAATGTAACAACATTGTAATTTTTATATTGCCTGAAACATTTTGTTGAACTATATAAGCTATAAAGGAAAAATAAAGACAAGATAAGAGAGTGAACAGAGAAAGAACCTAAGAGTGTGTTTATTCCTTTTTGTTGGCCTCAGAGAGTTAAGTTTAGCACCTCCTTGCTGGTCCCAGAGAATTAAGTTCTATTCCTTTTGATAGAAGTCAAGTTGATTGATAGCCTACTGACTTTGTAGGCTCCCCCTCAAACCCTAAGCTCCTGGAGGCTGGTCCTCACTGCAGCAATATTTGGGGAAAGCTAAGCATCATCTTGCTATTTGTGGAATTCTGTAGAGTTCAGTTTCAAAACATTCAATGAAACCTGAACCTGATGCTAAGAGAATAAGGAAGGGCCAGTAGAGACTGAAATATGGCCAAAGACTCATGGAAGGATACATCGCTGAAACCCATGGGCTGGTAGATGCACTGACAAGGAAGCAGGAGAGGCTCCACATGGCCATGGCAACTGGAGTTCTTTGTGTGAAGTTGGACAGGGACAGCATGACCCAGTCCCTGACCATGGATGACTGCCCAGCACTGTGCAGAGTCTGAAAAACCTGGGGAAGAGAGAGTCCTAAGCACAGGGTCAGGCTGTGGGGTGAGGGTAGGGGTAGTGGGGCCACAGTTGCCACCCATCTTGCAGGATGAATCTAACCCTGATGACAGGCCTACTGGAATTGACTTCATCTTCATCCCCCTGCTCTGTCCTTGCCCCAAACATGGACACCCTTACCTTGTATACTACAGTGGCCATGAACTGTGGGTATGGTTGCTGGTTGGACAGAAACTCTCCAATGACTTTGTTCATGACATCTTGAGGTGGGAAGAAATCATCTAGGAACTGAGGCAGGATCCTTGCCACAACTCTGGCTTCACAGGGAAACCCCTTGCGGATCCTGTAAGGAGGGGAGCTGATCTGAGCTTCACCCTGGCTCCTAGCCTCTCAGTCCTGCCCACAGAGCCAACATGGCCTGAAGTTCAGAGGCCCTTGACCCACAGAGATGCTCCAAGTATGGCTCAGACCACAATTAGGGTATGAACTTTAAAAGCCAAAGGTGACACCTAGACTTTTCTTTTGCTGCCCCGATTGATCCAGGCACAGGGTAATCTTTGCCACTATGAGGAGAATAATGCAGAGTTGTGGGAAATCCCTGTAAAGGAATAGCAGGAAGAGGGTAGGGTGGTGACACTATAGGAGAGTCTTTCCACATCAAAATGCTCCAAGAACTTTTCACTGTTACATGTCCTAATATCAGAGCACTACTGTCAACCAGGAGTTCTTCTTTCTATCAGATAAGGACCCATTATGTCCTATTGATTCTTCTCTCAACATTCAACACTTGCCCCTTACCTACATCCTGAAAGACAGCTGACCTAGAACTATCCCACTAATGCACGCACAACTGTGGTGTACAGCTGAAAAGTGCAAAAGTAACTCAAGACACTTAGCTGTGTCTCTGCCCAACCAAGGGTGCATTCCTGTGAATATGACCTGAGCCCCACCACATCACTTGGGCACACTCGCAGGAGTGTTTATTTCCTCAGCAGTGGGATCCATGAGGACAGTGGCATGGCTGTACACATGCATGGGCCCAGTTATCCCTGAGTTTGGCTACAAGTGGTGCTCTGTGAATATACATTATACACATTGGAAAAATGGCCACAAGCTGCATTTTAAAGTTTAAGAGGATGAACATATACACACAGATGCAACTGCTCTGGCTTTGGCTCTAGGATAGTCAATGATTATTGAGGTTAGAGGTGGGGCTGTGTTGCATTTCTTACCTATCAAAGAGAACAGATACCCGCTCCATAGCAACGATCACAGACTCACTGTCAGGTGTAGCAGGGCTAGGGTCAGAGGTTCTGCCTGGACTGGCTTTTTCTTTTCCTGAAACAGAAATACCCAGGAAGCTATAGGATTGAAACCCAAGAGGCTTGAAATCAGCACTCAGTGACTCATATAGGACTTGGCCAGATAGAAAGAGATCCTTCAAAAACAGGTGATTAGTCTCTAGCAAGGTAGGGTGCAGCTCAACTTTCTTACAATTCTCAGGGATGCAGTGGCCAGAGGCAGCTCTGATACCTATACGTGGTGGTGTCATGTGAGCTGCTCTCTTTCCTTGGGCCCTAGAATTTCTGGAAATGTGACAGGGCTGGTTTAGGGCCACACTAAGGCTGCCACACCATGAGGTCTGGCTTGTGTTCCTGAATATGTTCCTGCTTTACTTCTTAGAAGCTAGGCCAGGCACAGTGTCCTTTGGTGAGTCTACAACCCTTACAACTTGCTCACCTGTGTACATGCAGGTGAGCATCAGGCCTAGGGCTGCCATGGCTCGGTGTGGGCTTTGTACATTCACTCTGTCCACACTTAGCTTGACCAAAGACTCTGTATCTAACCGAGAGAGCTGCTCAGATAACAGGAGACGCTCCAGACCCCGGAGGGCACAGTGGTAAATGATGGAGGGGGTGGATTCCTCACTTCCAGACAGCATCACTCCACACATCTAGACAAGAAGAAAGGCTTGTTTGTTCTTACCCTCTCAAAAGCACAATGACCCACTGGTTCAGTACACAAGGAAACCTGCCCATGTCCAACAGAGCCCATCCAAAGCCCTCTCACCTGTATCACAGATGCTGAAAATTCTGGCCCCACATCCAGAGGGTAGTTTTCCATCAGATAGAATGCAGTGGCACACATCACCAGCACGTGCTGCTGGCTATGAATGTTCACGCAGCTGAGAATGGGAGACAGTAATCATATCCAGTCACATACAGCAGCTCCTGGCTGTCTGCAGTGGGGACAGTTTTAAAGCATATCCATCCGTGTTTATTAAGTATAGAGCCTTGGGCCATGCCAGCTTCTCCAGGACTTTTCTCCTGGCTTGCCTGGTGACTACACTGTTTCCAGAGCTGCATGGCCTCAACTTGATACACTACCCCAATACTGTACCTCTCTAGGCCACTTCACTGTCCCTACAGATCTTCATGCTCAAGATGCATCCTTAGAGTGTCAGTTTGCTCCATGTGTGGTATGTGCCAACTTGTAACACTCTAATTTATGGGATCTCCAGTTGGTATCTGTTGCCAACAGCAACAGTAGGGACCTGGCTAGCATATGAGTTAAACCAATGCCACCATAAACAAAGGAGCCACACACCATTTCTTTTATCCTTTCAAATGTGTTCAAATGACACCGTCACTCCTAGGAATTGGCCACTGTTTTGTATGTGACATGGAACCCTCTGCTCAAAGCACTAAGCAAGATATACTTATTATCTGACTGGGCACTGCAAGCTCCTCACAGCCACCCCAGTCCTCTATGCCCTCTTCATTTCTCAGCAGATTGTGCTTGCCCATAACATGCTCAAATCTGCTCCAGGTCAGGATCTAGAATCACAGGGATAGTGGGTGGTTGTCTGCTTACCTTGCATATACATGTAAGCTACTATTCAGTAAGGACTACAGGGAAGAAAGTGCCTTCCTACAAGCCACTGTATCTGTTCAGCTCAATTTGCCACTGCCTGTTGGGCCCCTGAAATGCACTTCTGCTCACCTGTCAGAATGCTACCTCTTCATAGCAGCTATGTCTGTCAGCCTAAGACCTCACCATTTCCAAACCTTTCATTTAACTTTACTCTCCATTTCTGTCAAGAACAGCTGGATTTTCCTGCAAGTCCCTTCTCATCCCTAACACATGCCCCAAACTTCTCAGTGTCCAGCTGTGTGTCCCTCCTTAGGTCACAGCACACCCCCCCCCCTTCTAAAACAGAGCTGTGATGGGCTCAACTTGTTTTCAAAAGGACCAGCAATACATCCATGTGCAGTTACATGTAATGCATCTTTATGGGGAGACAGAGATCAGAGCAGGAATAAAAGGGCCTCACAGGAAACATGGGGCTGCTCAGAAGCTAAAAAAGAGGCTAACTCTGGTAGCAGAAGATAAGGTTGCTGTCCACTTCAGAGTACTCAGTGCCACTGTAGAGTGATGCAGTGGCAGGACTTTTCATCTTGCTAGAGATAACCAAGAAAGCTTTGGACATACACTTGTATCCTTGTGTTTCATGGCTACTATTTCCTAAAAAAGGTACCCTCTTGGGTTCCCTGCCTGTGACCTACCAGGACCTGGCATATACTTTGTTACTGCTTTTGAAACAGGATTTCATCTGTAGCCCTGGTTGTTTTCAAGCTTATGTCAATTTTCCTGCCTCAGCCTCTCAAATGCTGGGATTATAAGCATGTCCTACCATGGTAGTTCTAGCATATACTTGGAAAGTCAAATAGGGCCCTTTTGTTTTATTTTTTTAGTTTTGTTGTTGTTGTTAAGACTACACCAAAGGCTGTAGCCCACCCAGCCAGCCCCACTCACTGGGCTATTCCTTTGAGGTTGGACAGCAGATAGTCACTAACAACTGGAATGAGCTGCTTTGCAGTGTCATCCAAGAGGTCACACTCCAACACGTAGAGGATGCCATGCAGGGCTCCGATCTGGCTGGGGAGGTGGCTGCTCCTGAGTGTGCTCTCCAGTAGGCGGCTGACTGGCTCTGCTACAGTTTTGTCCTAGATACAAGCACAGACACAAGTTGCTGTAGACAGATTTATGGCTGACTGCCAATGCCCCGATTCCCTGAAGCTGAAAGAGCCTGACTATTGTCCAGCATACAGTGGAGTCCACACAGGAGAGGTTGGTGTACAGTGCTGACCCTATCTAAAAGCCTGAATTTGAGAGAAGATTTACCTATGTAGAAAATGTGATTTGTGCTCACACTTGCTTTTCCTTTTGGAGTTGTAGTCACTGGGCAGAGGATGCTCCTGTAACCTGCTTCCACTGACAACCCTGGATTCTGAGTTCTGCTGCCCCCTGTACGAACATCTCATGTGTTGTCTACTCCTTGTCTACCTACTGGATGGATGAGTTGTATTCTGTATGACTATTCAGGAACAGTATTCACACCTGGTTTTCTAGTCTTTACCTAGGAACCTGAACCCTCAGCTGATTTTGCCTTGTGTCTCTTCACTATAATGAACCTTGGTCTGGCACCACCTAGCAAAAGCTTGATGGCTGTGGGGCTTCTGACATTAATTTGTGCTAACCTGGACTGACATGGTATCACTTTCTCTGAGTATTCTAAATGTGGCAGTTGAACTTAGGCCTAGACACCCAGCACACACCTTGACACAGGACTTCTTCAGCAGTGAAGACTGCTGTTTTGTGATGCAATCCAGTGGCAGTACTTCAGTATCTGACTGTGCCCTACCAGACACCCTACTAGGAAAGCCTGGCTGAAGACTCATTTGGTCTTAATGACAGAAGAGACCATCTGGTTGCCAGGTGGTAGTGGTGCACACCTTTAATCCCAGCACTTGGGAGGCAGATGCAGGCAGAGTTTGAGGCTAGTCTCGTCTATAGAGTGAGTTTCAGGACAGCCAGAGCTATCACAGAGAAACTCTGTCTCAAGAATAAACAAACAAACAAATAAATAAATAAATAAATATTAAAAACAAGCAAGCAAGCAAGCAAACAAAACCAAACAACCCCCCCCCAAAAAAAAACAACAAAAACCAAAAAAACAAAACCCAGCCAAACAAGAAGAGGCCATCCAACCCTCTCCAGGGAGTCTTTATCTAATGGTCTTGAGCTAAAGAAGGTTAGCATCTTTGACAGCTTTCCAGGGTATCCCCATGAAGCCATGTGTCCTTCCTAGGGATAGTAAAACCTAGACTTCTTACCACACTTTTGCAAGTATAACACCAGGATATGTTGTTGAAGGCTGCAGATCTAACAGTGAGCAAAGAAAAATGACAGTTGGATGCACATTGTGGAACACTGTTCTCTGGAAATGACACAATCATGCCATCTTGAAGTCAAAAGAGCTGGATTACCTGAATTCACACAAGGCTCTCACAAGTACAAAACTATAATGTTCCCTCTTAGCAGGGGTAGCTAAGGACCAAACCTCAGCATACTGCACATAACTCTGCCCCAGCTGCACTTGGTCTTGTGAAGAAGGTTAACTGAAGAGGAAGAAGGGTGCCATGTCTCCATTTATGCAGCTTTTGGGGTGTCATTACCCATGCCATGGTAGGACTTTTTAGTGTGCAGCTGTTTTGAAGTCAATCAGCACCACAAAGTAAGTCCTCACCCATGCTCCTATGAGGTTTACAAGCTGGACTTAGATTACCAGTGCCCTATCTGAGGTGAACAGACCTTTGTTCAGGTCTCCCCAGCAAAATCAATGCAGCAGTGCAACAACATCTGTAGCAACATGGGACAGGCTGAAAACCTCTCAGAAGACAATTGCCTCCAAGAACAGCCGCCTGTGTACACAGAGCTGGGAACTGGAGCCATTTGCCATTCTGCCTTGGGGTTGTTCTTTAAAAAATCACCATTATTTGCCTGATGCATTTGATTTACATTTTGCCCGAGGAACCTGGGCCTGAGCACAAAACCACAGTTACAAGGAAAGTCAAGCCACTGAAGCCCCCCCATGAAGGAAAATGGACCTCCCACAAGGACACAGTCCTGACAGCACCCAGAAGATGCCTGCTTTGAAGAGTGGGGGGACTAAGTGCTCATTGTTCCTACTCTCCGAATGGAGCTAAGTCACCAGCATGGCCCAGGCTATGGCCACCCATACTGTATACCTGTTCTAGACTCTATGTTCAGTGACAACAGAATCTATAGCAGAACAGTAAGGAGAAGTGGGAGATGTGTGTTGCTGCTTTGTCAGGCTGCACAGGGTTAGACCGGTAGGTAAGAGAGATCATCAGGTACTTGTGGCTGCAGTATTAACAGCAAGGCTCTTACTAACAAGGGAAGACATGACACATATGGCAGGCACATGGAGAATAGGCCCCAGCAGGCTCATCTGCACCACTCCTGCCAGTAGGCCCAATTACTTCACACACAGCAGTCACTTATGTGTCTACTGAACAAGTTTCTTTCTTTTTTTTTTTTTTAAATTACTTTCATTTTTGTAAGTGGTACATGTGCATGTGTTCACATGTTAAATACACATGTGCATTATGGGAACCTGTAGAAGCCAGAAGAGGGTATTGGTTGTAAGCCGGCAATGTAGGTGCTAAGAATGAACTCAGGTATTCTGCAAGAGCACCAAGTGTTCTTAACCACTGAGCCATCTCTCTAGTCCCTGAACAAGCAAGTTTCTATTGTTATCACAAAAATGGATTCCAGGAAACATATATTAAGAACATGATGATAACTTTTAATTTTGTTTGTTTTTTGAGAAAGGGTTTCTCTGTGTAGCCCTGGCTGTCCTGGAACTCACTCTGTAGACCAGGCTGTCCTTGAACTCACAGAGATGCACCTGCCTCTGCCTTCCCAGTGCTGGGATTAAAAGTGTGCACCACCACTGCTCGGGAATAATTTTTAACATTTAATAATAACATTTTAACATAATTTAAAAACAGATAATAATTTAACATTAGGTGACAGAGCAAAAGTGCCTGTGCCAACAGTCTAGAGTTACTTTCCTTTGCAGGCCATGCTGATGCCCTCTAATATGCACCAACAAGAGGCAGAACCCACAGGTAATTATTTTCATGTGTGTATCTGATGTATTTTCTACGAGAACCTCCTAATACATATATAGGGAAGACAAAACCAAGTAGTACTAGCCAAATTCTGATAAACCAGCAGTAGAATAATGAGGAATGCTGATGAGTGGGAGAATCTAGGTATGAAGTACTCATCAGGCACCCCCAGAGCACCTTGATTTGGGATTTCCCAGTACATATCTGTTGTTTATAAATCACCCTGTCTAAGGTGTTTTGTGACAGCAGTACAACTGGACCAAGACAATCATGAGGCTAAGGATAGATATCTACACTTCCCAAAGTGGAAGTGCAAGGTTTCTATGACAAAGTCACCAGGGAAGACTGTAGGCCAAGGAATATAGTGGGATCCAGACCTTATCAGAGATATGGAGTAGAACTGCCAAGTGACAGACTGGCAGAAGAAGCAAGGCACAGTTCCGATATTTGTGCTGTCCCAGTGCCTTCACACCGTTTGCCCTGAAGAGGTACCCTACTATAATGGCATAAAGGCCAAGGGGCACAGGTGCTCCAACCATGTTCAACATAAAATATCTCAGTCCCCTGTCGGAGTACCAACAGGCACTGAGTTCTTTTAGCTGACCTGAGTTGTGGTTCACATGTGCCAAGGAGCTTGGCCTGGGAGAGGTCCTTGAAGTATGCAGATGCATGCAACACATTTGACCAACACTAGGTCCCAAAGCAGAGAAGTCCCAAGTGGCTTCAATGGGGGCAGCCTCTCACTCACCATACCAAGGACAGCAGCTGCCTTACAAGTGGCAGGCACTAGGTACTGAATGAGGATTTCATCTTCTGAAGGGTGCACTCTCCGTAGTTCTGTCAGCGTTAGATACATCATTTCAAACTGGGTGCGTTCAGTGAATAAGTCTGACACCACGAGAAGCTGGAGACATGGAAAATCAGAACAAAAGGAGAACATTATACCTGAAGGAATGTAAAAAATGTAGCCTAAAATGCAGTGGGAGGCAAGGCTAGTGCATGGGAAAATAACAGGGGAATCCTCAGTCCTGATTAGAGAGGCTTAAAATACAGTGTAAAAGTAATTGCAGAATATCAAATTAAAAATGCCTTTGTATGCACACTACGGATAGAGGAAGAGCTTGGATCTCAGTTGCTACATATATAGTGGTGATCATTTTCAGGCAATGTCCATCAATACAGGGTCAGGCACTCAAAACTCCTAGGAGTCTGTTATCACTATTACTTTTATTTATTATTATTCAGTCTGTGTATAATGTATGTGTATAAATGCAGGTGTGTGCAAACTACAGCATGTGTGCAGAAGCCAGGAAACAACTCTTGGGAGTCAGTTCTCCTTTGTTTTTTTTCTTGGTTTTTCGAGACAGGGTTTCGGAGCCTATCCTGGCACTCGCTCTGGAGACCATGCTGGCCTCAAACTCACAGAGATCCACCTGCCTCTGCCTCCCGAGTGCTGGGATTAAAAGCGTGCGCCACCAACGCCCGGTGAGTCAGTTCTCCTTTTACTGTGGGAGTTGAGGTTCAAACTCAGGCTGTCACATCTGCACAGCACGCACTTTTACCTACTGAGACATTTTGCTGGCCCCACTATCACTTATCTATTCTATATGTATTTGTTTTTTATTTTTTTGTGTGTGTGCAGGTGTTTTGCTTACACATATACTGTACACCATGTGTGTGCTGTGCCCACAGAGGGACTCATATCCCCTGGAACTTGAGTTACAGGTAGTTGTGAGCCCCCATGTGGGTTCTGGGAATGGAACCTGAGTCCTGCAGAAAAGCATTCAGTGTTCTTAACTACTGCTCTCTCCAGCTCCCAATATCACTTTTAAAAAGACCAAGCCTTTGAGCTTTTATCTCTAGCCCTGTCAATAGTGATAGATGGCATTCATAAAGTAAATATCCTATGTTTGGGGCTGTAGATGAAGAGCACTGAAGTACCATGAGACTATCTACTTATCTAAGAAGAGCAATGTCCAGGGGTCCACAGCTGTTTGTCACCACCCCAAAAGATAATGACAGACAAAGTGGGCCTGTGACAGCAACTGGCATACTACACACTGGTGCTACATGTAAGAGCATTTACCTACTTTAGATCTGAAAAGGAAAATCTGTCCTGTCATCAACTTCAAACACTCTTTTCCTCTACATCTGGGAGGTTGCAGGAGTTTCTTTACAGATTATGAGACATTACAGGTAGTGTGTGCATGCATGTGTACAAATGCATGTATGTTTGTATGTGTATGTGTCTCTGGAGAATGTATGGCACACACAAGTGTGGTATGTATGCATTTATATATATGGTATCTATCTAGTGCATATATGTGCTATAGTGTTTGTGTGATGTGTCTGTGGAGTGTATTTAATACATGTGTGTACGTGTATGTACATGCATGTGTGTGCATGGCATGCATGTGCCTCTGGGTGAGAGGGAAGGGAAGAAGGCAAACTTACAGATCGAACCACTTCACTGATCAGGATGACAGGGGTCTTTCTGGCTGCACTGGATGGCAGGATCCAGCGGCTGTACAATTCAAGCAGAAACTGCGAACAGGAGTGAATATCAACCCCAGCACGGTGTTTTCTGCAGAGTGTGAAACATGGATATTTTCCCCATACACAGATGAGAGGTTCACCTCAAGAAGGACCCCAAACATATCAAATGACTGGGAAGAAATTTCAAATTGCTTATTAAAAAAAAAAAAGCCAGTATAAACCTGGAATTGACTGGAGACAAAGGTGGTGACGTTGGTGCAGGGACATCAGCCTCTTCTTCCTCCTCTTCATCCCATTCCTCTTCTCTCAGAGGTGTGATGTTGTTCCCCAGCCACACAGAGTGTATGGATACCTGCCACAGAAGCAGGCACCAGAGTTAAGGACATGGGTGAACACCTCCAGTTCTTGTTGGGTAGGTACAAGCTCATCAGTCCCCCTAGTCTGAGCACATAAGACCAATGTAATGATCTATCCTATTCAGACCCATATGTTACTGTCAGAGGAGCCCCTGGGAAGGTAAGATAAGGGCTAAACTGTTGGCAGAAAAACTTTGATCTTAGGTTCAAGGCCTGAATGACTGTCTGGAAAGGGCATGAAGTAAAAGAGGCTCCAAAGAGTGACACTACAGTCCCTGGAGAAAGGGAACCATACATGGATTTTACAAACCTGGTCCCCATTCATTTGGGTTTTCTGGTGGTAGACCCTGCTTTTCTGGGCTGCTTGCTTAGAGAAATTTCTCCAAGGATAGAGGAGGTGTGTTTGTTTTAGAAAGGTATAAGGGACAGCCAAGAGCCTCAAGACCCCAAATGCAGCCCCCGATGAAGTGACTTTTGCACTCTTCACTATGAACGGTGACCTACCTTCTGATTGCTCCTCTACAAACCCTCTTGCATTTTCCCTTATGACCTCAGATGCCTTCAGTGAGGGCAAGCTGAGAGTTGTAAGTGGATTCCAGGTGCCATTGTTCTCCACACTTAGCCCCTTCTACCATCTCTTTCCCCAAAATGCAAAGTGGCAGTTCAGCCCAGTAACTTTTTTTTTTTTGATAGCTGATAGGTATACCAGGCAAGGCAGGGCTGGAACTTTACTTTGGCCCTACATAGTCCTACTATATTCAGCTTGCAGATATTGGAGCTGGACTCAAGTACTGAAGGAAACAGAATTAGATGAGTGCAACAGAGTCAGAAGGGATGGTGTGACCACAGAGCCAGGGACATGGACCCTAGAACACGGTCATGTACCCAGGGGCCCCAGGCATCTTGTTCATCATCCCATCTTTAGAAACACTCCATGAAAAGCACATCACATTTTAACTGTCACTGTGACTTATCTCAGGGTAGAATTGTCTCTGCAAAGGTAGGAAGAAAAAGAGGAGTCTAGTAAAGCAGCAGGTACCAAAGCTCCCTGACAGCAGCTGTCAACTATCCTCATTGTTCTTACTAAAGTGTAATGTTCAGCTGCCTGCTGCCTGCTAAACTGTACACTCAACTGCCCTCTGAATTAGCAGCCAGGAAGCTTTCAGTGCTGCATCTGCCTGAGCAGCTCTCAGATGACTCCATTCTGTCTTCCCTGACTTATCATGCTTCTTGGCTCCCTCCTGTCTCATATCATTCCACTATGTTTTATACACATGTGCACACTTATGTGCAACATATATTAAAATCTAGAATAAAGTATGTAAAAAAAAACCTTCTCTGAATGTGGTATGTGGCTCAAGCTCGAGGACAAACAAGGCTGGTTATAAGGAGGGATTGGAATGGTGCAACTGACCTGGCCCAGCTTGTAGCTCATGTTGCCTAGCTCCCGCTCTGAGTTGATCTGCAGTAGTAGCTTGTCATGGCTGATGAGGGCACCTGTAAAACATCAGCATAGCACTGCATGAGACCCTGATCCTGGCTGGATAGATGTTTGCCCAGTCTGGGTATCCTCTCCATTGGCAGGATGGCCCATATATGCAGAGGCCCAGTAGGTCTTGGAGTACTGTCACTTGGCAACCTGTTGAGCCAGCAAGCCTGGTGGGCAAACTAGACTATCCTTTTTCTATGGCTGCCTCAAGCTAACTGCATTAGATCACATACCACCCATTCTCTCCCAAGGCACTCCGATGCCCTCCCTAGAGCTGTACTCTGTATTTCTATAGCCATCTATCCAACATCTCTCTCAAGACTCTACAAAGCAAGTATGTCATTTCTCACCCATCCTACTGGCTCAGACAGAGGCTCCTCAAGGTCCAAGCCCATGGCCATTTAAAGGCACAGTGCTCTGTTTAATTCAATGTCCCCCAAACCATTTTGGGATAATTGACACACTGCATTTCTAAACAGAAACTTCCCCAAATAAAGCCTTCAAGGTACTTAGATTTATAGCAACAAATAATTCCTAAAAGAATGAGGTAATTATAAGACTGTAGCGGTTTGTTCAACAATAACAAAGGGGGGGGATGGTAAAGGAAAGGGGTGGTGGGCAAAAGGAAGAGTAAAGAGGTTTTGGAGGGGGTTTGTTCAATATACATTATGTACCTGTATGAAAATGTCCTTCTATAACATAGTAACTTGTACAGTTAATACACACAATGGAAAGAAAAACAGCCTACAAAATCCTCTTCATTTAAGAGAGATGATACACCCTGATGCTCATGGTGGTACAAGTCTAGGCAAAGCATGAGACTTGTGAATGGAGGCAATACACTCAGCATGCAGCCTTCTGGTTAAGCCACAGCAAGAATGATAGCCACATTCTTGTTCTAGCTTCTTCCAGTACCTGTAGTAGCTGGCAACAGAGAAGGGACAGGATCCCATGCCTGGTGAGAATGGTGAGTGGCAGTATTCTCTCTCTGGGAAACCATTTCTTGGATCTCTTGTTCTACAATCCCTCTGATCACACTCAACTTCCTTCCAAATCTAAAATTAAAAACCAAGGGAAAAAACATGTTTGCTTCTTTCAAATGTCACAGGAGTGAAAACCACCAGGACTTCTCTTTCACTTGCCTGAAGCAGCTGGTGTAACAACAAACAAACCCTACAGCAGGTGCTCATTCCTGACCCACAAGTCTGAGCCTGAACATCCAGTGAAGCCCATAACATTTCACACTAAATTTTCAGCTTGTCACTGATGACAAAAGTCACTTTTGGATTTATATCCTCGGGCAGGGCCACAGATACAATGTTACATCAATTCTTTTGTTTGTTTGTTTGTTTGTTTTTGTTTTATCAAGGCAGGGTTTCTCTGTGTAGCTTTGGAGCCTGTCCTGGAACTAGCTCTTGTAGACCAAGCTGGCCTGGAACTTACAGAGATCCCACTGCCTCTGTCTCCTGAGTGCTGGGATTAAAGGCATGCACCACCACTGCCCGGCTATATCAATTCTTATAACAAAGGAAAGGGCTATAGAAAACTAAGAGTGGAGTGGACTACCTCACCATCCTCTGCAATAGAATGTGGCCCACATAAGAACTCAAGCAAACCTTGTATCGAGAGCCTTCAGGGGCTTGTTCCGGGGCTGTTGTTCCAAGCAGCTTACAGCTGGATTGCCAGCCACAGGCACAGTCATTGCACTGAGCACTAAAGAGGTGATGGCCTGCACAGCCAGGACATGGATCTGGGTCCTTTCTGTGTCTTCCTAGAGGAATAGTCCACACATTGACAACATGACAACAAGATACCAACCACTCATTCTGCCTCTACTTCACACAGTGCCCATAGACCATATGGCTTCAGACAGGAGAATCAGATCCCTTGAGTCCTGTGGCTTCCCATAGCCAGGATCTTTAGTCCAAGTTTGCTTGGCACTGGCTGCACATCTATATACCTGGACCTTGGAGTAAACCTGAAGTACCCAAACAGAACTCCAAATAGGAATTTACCTTGAAAGAAATTGCTCTTAAATTTCATCATCATTTTAGAACACTGCCTATGGCAATCTGGCAGTTACAGAAGAGTTTGAAGATAATCTTGATGACTTATGACCTAGATAGATTCACCCTCTTATCTGTCATTTCCAAAAGTTCATTCCCCATCTCTTATAATCAAGGGCTCATTCCAGTACTTTTAACACTCAAGAATATGGTGGTTATTTATATCTTATTAGCATGGTCTACATTAATACTAAGCAAACAAAACCTCTAAGATAATTAAAAACAAAGCAAACAAGAAACATGTACATGGCCTGGATTCATGGCCTTTTTTGTTGTGGTTCAATGACATTCCTTCAAATAGTGATAAATGAACAACAGAATGCAAAAGAGAACAATCTTAATGATCATTGATGTGGAATGTAAAATAGTAAAAGACATATACTAGCTACTAGAAGCTTCAGTTGAGATATGATCAGCCTGCTTTCCTGTTCTGAAACAGAGTCACCAGCTGCCACAACTACAGGTTCCCAGTTAGCTACCCCTTAGTTATGGAATTCTCACCTCTGGTGGGCTCTCCTCCTGTTCCATCACCAGGGGCTGAGTCACCAGGACACCAAGGAGGGTAGCCCAAGTTTCTTCAAACTGGGTACGACTGGTCCACCCTGGCAATCAATCATTACATTAGATAGTTTCCTAATTCCCCCAACCCATGAAAGGTTACTGACAATATAACTCCATCAGTACTGTTCCTAGAGCACCACCTTCAGGGCAATCCTACAGCATAAGGAATGTCATTCTCTCCATTTACCATAAAGGACACTGGAGCACATGGAAGTCGGTTATGCTTCCAAGGCCAAGAGGCACAGGTCAAGTTCAGCAGCCCACATTGCCCTTCAATCCCCCATTATGTGGTATAGTGACAAGGATGTCCACATAGGTGTCACTCAAGCAGGTCAAGGCTATTCCCACCCACTAAGCATTTTAGAAGTCTCACTTTAAGTCTGACCATGAGACTTCAGACCAGATCACAGAACCACATACACAATAATTCTGTCTCTATAAAGCTGGTGAGATTAAACAGTGTCAGCAAGAACCCCATGGAAGAAGGAGAAACCAATCCCTGCCAACTATCTTCTGACCTCCATGTGCATGCACACTATGGGCATGTTCATTAGAGTCCGGCCTCCACAAAGTAAATAAACGTAAATAGTGAAAACCACCCAGAAGACAGATCAGAAAAGCACGGCACTGGGCGTGGAACACTTCAGCAAGCAGCAAAGGCAATCTAGGAGGCCATTCTTCAGGTTCACTACAAAGCTACATCAGAGTAAATTTCAACAAATGGCTGTACTTGGTGTTTCCACCATGACCCAAGAAGATCTACAGTACTCCTTGTAAGGCAAGGATAGAGCGAAGAGGACTAGAAAAGTAGAGCACCAAATGCTAGGACCTCCTGGAACATGGAGTATAATTCAGACTCAAGTGAATACCAACACCAGGAGACAGACCCAAGTGATAATTGTCCAAGGGAGGTCTAAGTGAGCCAAAGCAAAGGTAACGTGCTGGCTAGTTTACGTCACTCTGACACAAACTAGATTCATTTACGAAGGGGGACTGTAAGCTATGAAATGCCTCCATTGGCCTGTAGGCAAGTTTGACGGGAGTTTTCTTAATTAGTGATTGGTGTGGTAGGGCCTAGCCCATATAGGTGGTCCACCTCTGGGGTGGTGGTCCTTCATGCAGGCTGAGTAAGTCTTGGTGAGCAAACTGGTAAGCAACATTCTTTCATGGCCTCTATGCCTGTTACTACCTCTAGGTTCCTGCTCCAGCTTCCTTTAGTGATAGACTTACAAGCTATAAGGAGAAATAAACCCTTTCTTCCCCATGTTGCTTTTGATCATGGTGTTCATCACAGCCACAGAAAAGTAACTAAGACAGGAAGGAAAAAAGCTGTCTGATTCCTGCTCAGAAGTTACTGGGCACAGTGGTGAACTGTTCAATTTATGGCCATAGGAAGTTAAGGTAGGTTGCTGAGACCTAATAAGAAAACTTGAAGAAGCCAAAGGGACTAACACAGATCAGGCAGTGGATCAGGTACCCAGGCTCTTCTAGTAAATACCCCAGCAGGTGAATGATGGGGCAAGTCCTTCTGTGTATATGTCTCTCTTATTGGTTAATGAATAAAACACTGTTGGCCAATAGGGAAGCAAGATAGGCGGGACTAGGAGAGAAGGAAGATTCTGGGAAATGTAGTAAAAGAGGAGAGTCACCATGTGATCTGGGAAAGAGAGAACACATGCCACTGGTGTCCTCGATAAGTCTTTATGAAATATATAGATTAATGGTTATGGTTGATACTTAAGACAGAGCTAGCAAATAAGAAATCCTAGTCATTGGCCAGCATCATTGTAACAAATATTAATCTCTATGTATTATTTGGGGGCCCTAACATGGCGGCAGAACTCAGGAGGCTGGCGGAAAGAGTTATTGTTACAGGTGAAAGCTATATGAGGATTATAATCTAACTACCTGATCACACCCTGTGGTGGTCTGAATGAGATTGGCACCCATATTTGCATACTTAGTGCCCTGCTGATAAACTGAGGATTAGGAGGTATGTCACTGTGAGTGGGCACTCACTCCCTCCCTCCCTCCTTCCCTCCCTCCCTTTCTCCCTCTCTCTTTCTCTCCCCCTCTCTGCCTCCTCCTTTCTCTCTCTGCCTGCTACTTGTGGATCAAGATGTAAAGCTCTCAGCTACTGCTCTAGCAACATACCTGTTGACTTTCCACCATGATGATAACAGACTAACCTTTTGAAACTGTAAGCAAGCCTCCAACTAAAAGCTTTGTTTCACAAGAGTTGCTTCGGTCATGGCACAGAACAGTGACTAAGACACTCCCTCATCCAGAAAATGGGGAGGGTGTGGGGTGTGGGGTGGGAATTTAGATTGTGCTTCAGAGCAGAGAACAGTCCCAACAGAAGAACTACTCAAGCATGCTACTGCTAAGACACTAAGTATATTCTTCATGTTCACATCTGTAGCAAACACATGAAATGGACACAATCCCCACTTTACGGGCCATTGCACTGACAGCCCCACAAGGAATGAGCAGGGCTGTCTGGCTGATCTACCTTCCCTCATTCTGCCACACTGGCTCCTGTGACACTTAGCCTGCCATGTTCCCCAGGCTGCTTATTCTACACACGAGAAAAACGATGTAAGTGAGAACATTATGTCAAAGTAGCAAACAGAGGAAATCACCCTCACTACTTACAGTTTGTTGCTGTTGCAGCCATGGAGACTGAACCCTGAGCTTCATTGGTGTTAGGCAAGCACTACAGTAAGCCAATATTCCGAGCCCACTTGTATGGTTTAGTCTGAATGCATAATATGAAGACAGGATCTGACTTCCTATGATAGTTTCATGTGCATTTCCCTTTGTTCAAAGAAGTCTGGTATATAACCCACACACTCATCTTTGCATACCTAGATCTATTTTCTCACCATAATTCCATATGTACTGTGAAATGTGTGAAGAAGGTTTGTTCCATCATAACCCCAGAACCTTTCCAGTTGCCAAGTGAGAAGGTCCTACCCTGGAGCTTCAGGCATATATGTGGTGTATGGGGACTGAGGAGGACTGTGGGGTACCTAGGGTGTTGATACGATAGATGAACTCCGTGAGGATCTCCTTCTCCTGGAGGAATTCTACAGGGATCTCAGGGAACACTGTGCCAAAGTCCCCTCCAGGCTTGGGCGACCACCCAAGTTTCCATACCTGAGAAGATGAAAAGAGAGTAACACCTGGATGGAGATGCCACAAGGACAACAAGAGATCCCTCCCCTCTTTTCTCTCAGCTAGTCTCCCTGCTGAGCCAGCTGCTCTTGCCTCACTACTCACATAGCCAGTGCCTTCCCACAAGAGGCTCCTACCCCTTTCCTTAGAACCTTCAAGGCCACGCTTGACTCCCACCACTCTGCCCTGCCTTCCCTTCTTGTTACACTCAGACTGGCTGTACACAAGCTGGGTTCCTTGTGGGAAATGCTGGTGGCCCACAAACATCAAATGTGTGTTACAAAAAAGGCAGACACTAATGAAGTTCAGTCTCATATAAACATGCATTGGCAAACAGGTGCAAGGCCAACCCCATTGTGCATTTCTATCAAGTGAGATATCTAGACAAGCACCATGCATAAAAGGGAACCCTGAGGCACATCCTATACTGTTCTAGTAGCAGGACCATCTTGCCAGCTCAGCTATGTGCCTCGGTGAGCCATGAGGACCTAAAGGAGTCTCCCCAGATTACTACAACCAACCTCTCTTTATCATGGGAAAGCCTTCTATAAATCTCTTATATCACCCATGAAAGTCTCTGGAGCATGCCTAGGGGAGGTTCTGCAGTGCTTGCTATAACTGCTCTCCTACCCAGGGCATTCAAGGGAGTGGATTAAAAGCACTTGATGGAGTTTTATCTACAGCACATGGCCTATGTAGGCAGATCCCCTACAGCCTTCCATGACCTCTAGACTACCTTCTTGCACAGTCTCCATAAGGAGTGCTTCTACCCAGGGTTGAACCCCATGCAGCAATGTTGGATGACCTCCTGTATTTCTATTGGGCTCTTCCCAACGTCCACAGCTCTTTGTTCTATAAGCACTTCTAGCACAGCTAGGCCCTGCAATTCTAAGGTTCAATGAATGGCACTTTCTAAATGTGAACTTCTCCAAGATCTTACATGCAAACACACACATGTGGAGGTTGTGGCCCAGCAGTAGGCACATGCCCTATTCTATGCAGAAAAAAGTACTCTCCCCTTGGGCCTGGCTCTGTGTTACAGTTCAAGTCTGCTGTGGGCCAGCTTTGCTTTCTTGCTGAGGATTTTTGTAGGAAGGATATGTCTAGTGGGCTATTTCAGCAGACTTAGGTTGGCCGAGCTGCTGTTAACCCTTTTCCATTACTAAGCTCTTGCTGAACCAAAAACCTGCCTATTTTAAGCTGATATGTGACGAAAATTTCAAGAGAAAACCTAGAATAGTGGTTATCCCTGAGTGTATGAATCAATCTTTCTCTCTCTTTGAGACAGTCTCTCACTATGTAGCTCTGGCTATACTGGAACTAGATAGACCAGGCTGGCCTAGAACACAGAGATCTGCTTGTCTCTGTACATACTACTATGCCCAGCTTTGTATGAATCTCTTCAAAGGAGGCATTTCTGAAAGAGAATAATTGAAGAGTGAAATTTCTGGCTTACCATTAATTAGTCTAATCACTTCAGAATCACATCCAACATGAATACATCAGTGGAGATGAAGTTTAGTACTTTAGCTCATAACCACTACACAGAATGCCTGGGAGACAACACAGGTGTCACAACTACCCACATGCAAAATGCTGGAACCACCACAGAGAGTGTTATAGCAATAAAGACTGTGTGATAAATGGGCATGTATGCCTATAACTAATTCTAGCATTAGGAAGGTAGAGAGGAGGATCCCATGTATAAGGCCAGCCTTGGTTACATATCAAATTGAGCAATATTCTCTCAAAAAACCAAGTTCTGCTTGAGTCCTCACTCTACACAAAGAACTATAGGCAACTGAGGATAGCTGGAAACAGGAGAGGTGGCCTTACCCAGGAAAGAACATACCAACTGGTTGTTCAGCCCTGAAAACATACATACAGGTAGGATTATACAGACTGAGCAGGTTATATTTAAGAATACACACACACACAATAACAACTAGTGACTAAAAAGGCCATGAATTTGAAGATCAGGAGGGGCATATAGGAAAGTTAAAAGGAAGGAAAGGGAAGGGAGAAATATTATAATTAAATTATAATCTCAAAAACAAAAACCAAGGGTTGGAAATGTAGCTAAGTGGTAGGGCATTTGCCTTGCATGCACAAGGTTCGAATACTCTGTCCCCCTACTCCTGAATCCTCCCCAAAAGATTCTACTTCAGTCTTAGGGTCACCCCACCCCATTTCAGCAAAGGAGTGACCTAACTTACCAGAGGGGGCACACGCGTATAGCTGTTGACTAGGGGAAGACGCGCCAGACTGATGACAATATTCTTTAGCACTGCCGTGAGAAATGAAGGCAAGTTGCTGTTCCTCTTGTGGCCCAAGGCCAGCACTGACTGTAGGGATTCCACCATCTCTGCTACCATCTCGCAGGCTGAAGTGATGAAACCAGGATCTATACAGGCAATGGTGATCAAGAGGGCAGTTTCTGTCAAAACACACTGCAACCCTGACATCCTTCTGTAAGCCCATGGAGAAGAGAGTACCAAGCCTATCAACCCCTGTCTAGTCTACCAAGACTTTGGGCTGCTCACTGAAGACCTCCTGAGCATGTATCCAAACCCTGCAATTTTTTTCTATTTCTGTGGGGAATACAGTAATAGTCTTGAACCTGAGTTTCAGCCTTGGATGGAAATTTTAAAGGCAGAGTAATGATAAAAATTCCAGAGTCACCAATCTGTCCTGTCAGGGTCTTGAGGCCAGGGGCTGTTCATATTCCCTAAGTCTTAATACAACATGGAATTTTAAAAAACTGCTTGTTTAGTTGGTAAAATGGACAGATAGTTACCCTTGTCTATGAGAATCAACAATTTATAGACAACTTCCTAGTATAAAAAAAGGATCCTTATTGAGCTTAAGGAACTAAGCACCAAGCTAAAAGAAATGCTGCATATCAGTCTAACTTTAAATAGTACTAAGGAGGATGGGAGAGATGGCTGAGCAGTTAAGAGCACTGGCTGCTCTTTCAGAGGACCTGGGTTCAATTCCCAGTACCCACACAGTAGCTCCTAACTATCTGATATTCCACTCGCATGGGATCTGGCACTTTCTTTTGGTCTGCTTGGGCAATGCATGCATGTAGTGCAGAAAACACCCTCATACATAAAATCAAACAAACAAACAAAAAAGTTCTAACAGGAGGTGACGTTAAAAGCATAATAGAAGCCGGGCGTTGGTGGCACATGCCTTTAATCCCAGCACTCGGGAGGCAGAGGCAGGAGGAACTCTGTTGAGTTTGAGGCCAGCCTGGTCTACAGAGCGAGTTCCAGGACAACCTCCAAAGCAATACAGAGAAAACCTGTCTCAAAAACAAAACAAAACAAAACAAAACAAAACTTAATAGAACCTGAGTTGCTTTTTCTGACCAGAATTTCATTAACTGACCCTAAGAGAGTCACAGAGGATGAGCAAGATTACATCAGGCTGAATTAAATCACCTCCTGCCACTGGGCCAGCCTGCCCACTCTGATGACGGTGGGCATTTGCCCCAGTGCTTCACATGGTCTGATTTTCTTAGCTGCATCTTATCCTCACAACAGAAGCACAGAATAACCTGAGCCACTGCTCAGCTAGGAAAAAAAAACAAAAAACAAAAAACAAACAAACAAAAAAAACAAGCTGTGAGGTGGTTTCCTCACTTTGCTGGTATCAACAAGAAATTATGAAATTGTAACTCAACTGCAGGAACTGTAGGGGCTCAAGACAGAAACAAAGTGAGAACCCAGTATATACTAAAATGGCATTGCTTATGGACTACTATGCAACCCTAAAAATTTTAGAACAGGAGCTGGAAGACTACAGACAAGGAAGCTCTTTCTATAAGTAGCCCATCTTTTAAAAATGCTTTCTCTCTTTCTTTCTATCTATCTATCTATCTATCTATCTATCTATCTATCTATCTATCTATCTATCTCAGGCTGGACTCAAACTCATGATCCTCCTACTTTGGCCTCCTTAGTGCTGCAATTACAGGCTCATGTCAAGATGCCAAGCTGTGACTAGGCATTTCTCTATACCCATGATTTCAAAGGCATATTTCTGGAACCATAGAGCAGGTCTAAGGCTCCTGGTGACCCAAGGAAAAATAAACATTCAATGACACCTGCCTTCCCACCTGTGGGAGAGGGGCTGCAGATATAGGTGGCATTCCTACTATTTGAGCCTCTGAGGTCAAGGAACTAAAAAGGTTCTAGAAGCCTGGAGGTTAGGAGGCAAGGATTCAGTTGGCTAAAATGTGCTTTGCCCTGCCACAACTGTCACAGTAAGACAGCTACCCTAGAATCAATTAGGAAGATCAGAAAAAGACAATGTATGTACCTAAGTCTAGAATAGTTTTAAATGATGGTGATTTCAGTATTTTTTTTTCAAATTAATGGCAGCATCTACCACTTAGGAGGTTGAAGCAGGAGGGTCATGAATTCACTGCCAACCTGGGCTACAGAGGGACATCCTGTCACAAAACAAACAAGTCACCAAATGCCACCAAAAGAGATGTCTGAAACAGTCATTAAGGTTACAGTATAGCATGTGTACCCACACTAACTTCAAATTCCTTGGAGTTTTGAAATTATTTATTCAAAATTTAATATACATTTGCCAGTCTCTTACAATGGGCCAAGCAATAATTTTGGGAGCACAGACAAGGAAAACATATTCTTCACCCTAATGTAGGAGCCATGTGCTAAGTGCTAAGGAGTAAGATGGTGGGCTCCCCAGAGAAGAGGTGCAATTCAGGTTGTGGGGAATTATGCAGGATGAACCAGACCAACCGGTTAGGGAGAGGGGGTCTTCACCAGAAAAACAGGGCACATAAAGACAGGAATGTGTTTATATCCATGGTCAGAAAACCCTCAACTTTTGGATGAGCACTAGAGGACAGCAAGAGAGAGAATAAGGGGAAAAAAAAATGGGTCCTAAGACTTACTTTGTATGTTTGAGTCTACTTCTTCCTTTCTGACAGCCCTTGGAGTATTTGACCTGCTTTCTGGACCGAGAAGCTGGTCCCCAGGCTGCACTGCAACTGAAATCACAGCAGAACATACACGTTCACCGTCCTTTCTACTCAAATCTTCATTTCACACCTGTGCCGCTCATAAAACTTACAAACTTATGGCACTGAGGGCTAGATTTCTAAAGCCAATTTAGTAAAACTGAAAAGCACTGGATAACACTAAATGCAGGCACCAGTGCTCTGACTACACAAAACGACTTGTGCTTCCAACATTCAGGCTTCTAAGTGCACTGTTTGCCATCTCCACCCTGAGAGTTTTTATCAGACTATTCACAACTCAATACTGCTAAAAGCATCACTATGACTAAGAAGCTTAGCTTTTTAAAATTACTCCCTGGATCTCTGTTTCCAAGTTGACTACAAATGCACAGATGAAAACAATTTAAACAATGAAAGATCAAAACACCACTCTATAATGTTTAATTTAAAAACATAAAACTTCAAAACATTCTCTAACATGTAAACTATAATGTCCAATTTTTAAAAATTTTTAGCTAATGACCCTTGTTGAGGACACTATTCCTTGAAAAGAAAGAGTCCCTTTTATTTTACAACATATTAGCATTACAATGCAGTATGCAAGCACACACTTCGACTCTAACAGAAGTCATCTATTGAATGTAATCTTTTTAATCTTATAATCATCCAGGACTAAGAACATCAAATAGTCAACTAAGACTAAAGATCAAAGGGATAAAACTTAAAAAGTATTTTTTAAAAGCTGGAACTCCAAACTCTAAACAAAATAACTAGAAAAGTAAATTCAAGTTAAGTTCTAGTATAATGTCAAGGTCTGGGGGTGGACAGATGGGGCCTTCTGAAGGCAGCACCAATAATCCATCCATTCCACCCCAACCCCTAACTGGTTCTGGGGAAATAGAAAACAAGAAGAAAAAATATTCATGACTGACATGTATTGCTGATGACCAGTTTAGATTCTTGAAGACAAGAAACTTACTCATAGATAAGGACTTACTGGCTTCCAGGATGAATCGCACACAATGGATGAGGGAGCAGACATGGGTCACATACTCTGGGGAGGACAGCACCCCCCAGAGGCCAGGCACCTGTAGTGCCAGGCAGCAGCAGTCTAGCCCGGCTTGGAGGTCCAGACTCAGTGGGATCTGCTCATGGATCAAATGCCATGACAAGGCCTAAAGAGAAGCACTGTGTTAGAATGCTCACCGAGTACTCTATGTTCAAGGACCTCTAGGGAAGCAGTGCCATTAAAAGCTATGGGAAGACAATGGAAAGATGGAGAGGCCAAGAGATGTGCCAACTTCCTTCCAGAAGGATGGCTCTAACCCAGGTTTCTAGGTTGTCATTCCTAGCTTTCTTAATATTCAGTCCTGATCCACCTATGCTCTAAAGTTCCTGCCTTTGCTCTGTCAGAATACACAACCACCCCAGATATCTTCTACCTTTAGAACCATGGGTGCCTAGAGAAACTTGTCCTGAGCCACAGAGCCTCCAGTCAGAGGCTTTACTCAAGGGCTCCTGTAACACAGAATTTTTTTTTTTTTTAATCTCAGCCACACAGCTGAGTTTGGGAGTATTATTTATGAGTCTCTGAGCTCAGCAAGTCTCTGAACTTCTCTGAGCTGCTTCCCCTATGTGTGAAATGAGAACAGAGAGATCACCCTATAGAGTTGTTGTGGGAACCAAGTACCATGACACTGCCTATGTAGCTCAAGGTATGACTAGGAGCTGCCACCTGGTACTTTACACATACATTTGCTTTCCAGTCTTTTCCACTGGGCTAAGACAAGCTAAAGACTACCTAACTTAGCCTGGTTCAGCTGTTGCCTGTGTATCATACATGCCCAGGAGATTTTCTTTTCTTAGTGTAAAGTGTCAACCCTTGCTCAGGATGGGCAGCACAGCTCTGACACAGGTGAGGCTCTTTCCCAGCAGTCATATAGCAAGGTAACAAAACTACAGTACATGTGTGTATATACATACTTTGAGGGGCCAATTGTTCAGTTTCCCTTGGGTGAAATGCCCAAGTTACTGCCCAACTTAAAACATAACACTTGTCTAGATTTTAATTAGGACTGTAGTGTTGGGACAAGAAGATGTCTATAGACTTCCCTGTTCCCTGTGGGTGGTGTGGTGAGGGTAAAAGACTCAATACGGTCAGGTGAATCAGACTTGAATAATGAGCATTCTCTTCCTGCCTGAGGTTTATTGAAACAGGGCCTAGCTATATATCCAGGCACAGCCTTATAAGCTGGGAACCCACAATTCTCCTGCCTCTGCCTTGAAGTAGTAGCTAGGCTAACAGATGTGCATAACATACTCAGTTAGCTGTTGGCTTTCAAGGGCTTTCATCTTAGTGCTACTCACATATCCTATCCTCACAGAGAAACAGCATTTCAGAGCTGCTCTTACCTCAAGTGTCATTACCACAAACTTCACTGTGTCCCCCTCCTTCTCAGGGGGAAGGTGCAAATGAGCAGGCACTTTGGAGACCACCACCAGGTATTGTGCTAGGGCACGAGCAAGTGTGGTCAGAGACTGGTATGATGTAGCATCACCTGAAACATGAGACTGGCATGAGTGACTCTGACTGTGAGCACAGGCCCTTCCCCTTCAGAAGCCTTCACATGGCTATGCAGATTTGAGGATGCCAAGACTAAGAAAGCCCATCTGTACATGCCTACCCACATGTGCTACATACAGTGTGAGCCTGGTTTGCCCTGAGTCTAAGCCAGTGTTCCTGAAGGGCTTAGAACCTGACTATCTATGTCCAAGAGTAGCCAAACAACAACGAAATACGTTCACAGATAAGAATTTGGTGCAGTTTTTCAGTTACTTTTGTCAGCCTTTCAGTGTTGCAGCTCAACAGTCCTGACTACGTATGTACTTGGGGCAAAGCACTGCTGGATCTGTAATACTTTTAAAACTATGACAAATTGGGATTAGAGCCATAGCTCAGCAGTTGAGAGCATGGGCTGCTCTTCCAGAGGAACTACATTCAATCCCCAGCTGCCATATAGTGGCTCACAACCATCTGTAACTCCAGTCCCATGAGATCTGATGCCAACTTCTGGCTCCATGGGCACTGCATGCATGCAGTACAGACATATATGCAGGTAAAAAACACCTATACACATAAAATAAAATAATTTAAAAACTAAGATAACTTGGGCTGAGAAGATAATTCAGTGGATAAAGTGCTGCAAAGCATGAGGATTTGAGTTGCAGGGTGTGCACCTGTAACCTCAGCTGAGATAATAGGAGGATCCCAGAGGCTTGGGAACCATATTTAAATTACCAAGCAGATCATTCAACTTGCTCCAGTAGGCTGTTGGCTCTGTAGGCAGGAAAGGCTGGAAGACTTGATGGACAGCAGGAAGCTGCTGAACAACACTGGTCACCCGGTCCAGAGTCACTGCACGGGCTGCTTCAAAAAGAGGACTCTTCTGGCCAGAAGCAATCTCACTCATGCCAAGGCTTAAGCAGGGAGCCAAAAGGCTTAGGTTGAACTCCTGGGTCAGAACATTACAGGCCAGACAAACAACAGCAAAGATGGTAAACTTTTCTTCAGGCTGGAAACACATAGCTAATCCAACAAGCATTTGTTTCTAAGATAATCGAGACTAGAGTACTGTAAGGAATGCTTGTGAGACTATTCTAGAGACATGGACATTCATGTGTCCTTTTTACTATGGTGATTCTCTGCACCACACTGGGACTCTGACAACAAGAAGGACATCACTAGATGAGCATCTGGACCTTGTATCTATAGAACTATCAGTTAAAATAATCTTCTTTTCCTTATGAAGCAGCTTGCCTCAAGTTATTTGTTATAGTAAGAAAATACACTCTAGAAAAGCTTTCAGTTAGAATGTAAATAGATAAAAGAAAAATATGACTCTAAGTTGAATTCTGTTTTAAAAAGTATATCCTATATTACATACATTAAAAATAAATATTTTAATAATTCCATTTAACATATGTTTAGTAAATACTTCTGGTCTCTTTGTCAGGCTTGAATTTTAAAGTAGTATGTTTAGTTTTATGACCTTATATTTCTCTGAAACAATTATAGGATGACAAATTTTAATTGCTATAAACAGTGCACCCAGGCTAATGTTCCAAGCATTGCTGCAGCCTGAGAACAAACATCTGGAAGGTGGTCTTATATGTGACAAAAATATGCTTGGAAAATCAACATTTCACATGACAAAAATTTAAAATCTTACTTATTCATTTATTTATTTGGAGATAGAGTCTCACTGTATAGCCCTGGCTGGCCTGGATGTAGACCAACAGGCCACAAACAGAGATCCTCCTGTCGCTGCCTCCCAAGTGTGGGAATTAAGGGCATGTGACACCATGCCTGGCCTCATATGGTAGTTTTATTATGCTTTGTCAATTTTTTTTAGCCATTTAAGGAGTTATGGGGAGGACAACAATTTTTCAAGTAGAACTTCAAGCTTTAATATTAAAAACTATATTTCATCATTAGTTCCCCTAAATCAAACATTCCTATGGTCACAGCTAGAACTTTCATAGTTGTAAATAGCCAACTTAGCAACTTGGAAAATCTAACCAACTGGTCCTGTATTTTGGATCTCTTCCTATGTGCCTACCTCTAACCTGCTAGGTGCCTCCTTCTCTCTTCCCATTTACCATATGTCAAGGGGCAGTGGATCCTTGTCTTCAATGGGGCAACAAAGCAGCCCACTAAGGTAGTGGCATAAGGATGCTTGGCAAAGAAGCCAAGGGCGAGGAACTAATGCTTTCAAGACCTGGACCAGCTCTGTAGTACCCCTTCTGATATTTGAGGGGTAAGTGGAGAATTACTCTATATCTAGAAGAGACAGGGCACCTCACCCCATGGGAGAATGTCTCTTTATCTAGAGCAGACAGGTCACCTCACTACATGGTGGTCATGATGGTTAATACTGATGTCAACTTAGCAAGATCTAGAATTTCTTAGGAGATAAACCTCTGGGTGTGCCTATCAGGGATTTTCTTGATTAGGTCAACTGAGGTAGGAAGACCCATTTTAATTGTGGGCAGGGATACTGTACTGAATCAAAAGAAAAAAGCAAGCTGAGCACCAGCATTCCTCTCTCTGCTCTCTGATTATGGATGCCATGTGACCAGACACCTCAAGCTCCTGCTGCCATGCTTTCCCTGCCATGGGGACTATACCCTTGAATTGTGAGCCAAAATAAACCCTTCCTCCTTTAAACTGCTTTTTGTCAGAGTGTTTTATGACAACAATGAGAAAAGTAATGAATACAGGGGTGTGGTGGTTTGAATAGGAATAGCACCCATAGATTCATGTGTTTGAAAGACTGGCCCATAGGGAATGGAAGAGTGGCCTTGTTGAAGGAAGTGTGTTTTGAGGTCTTATATGCTCAAGCTACTCCCAGTGTTGAACACAATCTTCTGCTGCCTGTGGATAAAGTGTAGAACTCTCAGCTCTTTCTCCAGCACTATGTCTGTCTAGATGCTGCCAGGCTTCTCACCATGATGATAATGACTAAAACTCTGAAATTGTAAGCAAGCACCAACTAAATATTTCTTTTATAAGAGCTGCTGTGGTAATGGTGTCTCTCCACAGCAATAGAAACCCTAACTGAGACAAGGGGGCTAGTAAAGATCAATTTCCAGAATACAATGAACACATGATACACTTTCTTGCAGTCATGAAATAAATGATGATGAACTGACTATAGCTTATGACCACCTATTTTCTTTATACATATGAAAGATGGAGTTAAAACAACTTTCCTCTTTTAGAATTCCAATTTGGTTGAAAAAGCAGCCTATTCACATCCCATGTGCTGGCTATTCTGGATTATAGCTTTCACATGCCATTTTTAATGCTGTCCTTGCTAGACTCAAGTCTCCCATATGCTGCTACACATTAATCACACAAAGATGAGACAAATTGTGCTGGGTAGTTTATATCAATTTGACACAAGCTAAAGTCATCTGAGAGGAAGGAACCTCAATTAAGAAAATGGCCTTCATAAGCCTGAGTTGTAGGCGGGACTATAGGGCATTTTCTTAATTAGTAATTGATAGGGGAGGGCCTAATCCATTGTGGGTGGTGCCATCCCTGGGTTGGTAGTCTTGGGTTCTATAAGAAAGCAGGCTGAGCAAGCCATTTGGAACAAGACAGTAAGCAGTACCTCCATGGCCTCTGCATCAGCTCATGCCTCTGTCCTGTTTGAGTTCCTGTCCTGACTTCCTTCAGTGATGGACTATGATGTAGAAGTAAGAAGCCAAGCCCTTTCTTCCCCAACTTGCTTTTTGGTCATGGTTTTTCACCATAGCAACAGAAACTCTAACTAAGGCACAAGTATAACTCAGAAAGACAAGCAGAGCTGGGGATTCCCTGCCCCCCCCCCCCCCCCCCCCCCGATTGCTGCTCTACCGTGCTCATCATGAAGTCATTCATGTCTTCAGCAGGGATGCGATTCACCAACTCTGCACCTTCCAGCAGTGCAGAATCTGATTTGGTCCAACACTGGGATCTTACAAGCTGGAGGTACCAGTCCTGGGAAGAAGAAAAAGAAAAGGTCAATGTGACTGAATAGGCACTTTGGCTGCTCCTCTGGGCTGTGATATAGCACTGTGACTCTGGCTGGCTGTACAGACATCAGACACACCCTGGGCATACAACTCACAAGTCTTCTCTCTGCTGTCCTGTGCCTGAATGTCCTCTTCTTTTCCACCTGTGGAACATCTAGCAGTCCTTGCAAACTCAGCAAAGTTCTGAGGGTTAGCAACCTTTCCTCTACCTGCTACTTAGATAATGCTTCATGTTCACTCTACTGGAATGTGTGTCTCCCTCATCTTCCTCAGCAGTCAGAGCAAGCCTGGGGCAAATGTATGCTTTCTTCCATGAGCTGTAGGTTTCTAAAATCACATCTCCTCTCCCCCAAAGCCCTAACAGCCTCCAACTCTCACGTATGAATGGTGAAGGGGACAATACATTATACTGGGTGGCAGTAGGTGCAACACTTCATAGGAAGTACAAGGTTCAGGGAGAGGGAGGCAGGCTGGCTTGTCAGCATGTGCTAGAACAATGTTTGCAGTCATAGCCCCTGGCCCAGAACCAAATTCTTTTGACTTAACCACTAGCCACCTGACCCTGACTCCACACTCCTCCACAAGAGTTACCCATCATCACTCCTTTTCTCATTAGGACCTCAGGGACTCCATATTACACTCTAATCCCCAAGCCGAGTTGCTAATAACCTGAGCTGAGTGTCAGGGGCCTTGTGTGTACTCACACCTACCCTTACCCTCATTCTAGACAGAGGCTGTCATTGTCTCCACGTGGTCCCTGGTAATCACACTTAGCTATACAGGATACTTACTTTGTCTGGACTCACTGTTTCCAGAGATGTGTGCCCATCCCCATCCAGTGGGTGGGAAGTGACTGGGGGCAAAGGGCTAAGTGAGTCCTGCACAGTAGAGAGTCGGAACCTGTCCAGCAGGGAATAGAGCCTTTGGTGTCTGAAATACAAATGAAACCACAGATCAGTTTGTCCTTTAGTTTGAAATCTCAGTTTTGTAAAGATGGATCCTAGAAACATGTAACATCAATGAACGAAAGTAGCTTCTTAAAACCAGATGCAACATGTTTTGAACTTTCCCTTCAACATTCTATAGTAATGATGCATATTTAGGCCCCAGTTACTTTAAATTACCACAATTGATACCTGGTTGATATTTTCCAGAAACTTCATTTATGCTCAACATTCCATTAGGCAATGCACTACATAACAGCTAAAAAAACTATTCTATTTTTTTCTTGAAGGTACTGGGGATTGAGCCCAGGGACTTGTGCATGCTAGACTAGTGCTCTACTACTGAGCTACACATCCTTAGCCAATGTAATATATGCAAAATAGAAAAATTCTTCTAAGATCCAAGTGTACAAACTCTATTAATTCCCCATAATGACATTCCACCAAAGAATCATTTCATTTGGTCTAAAGTATTATTGTTATAATCTTCCTCATCTTGGTCTATGACTACATCTATAATCAAACAATGATAATTTGCTCTCTTGCCATCTGAAGCCAACATGATACTTCATATGTCAAATGACAACATCATGTGGCTCCGAAGACTGAAAAACCATCCAGGCTATCCTCTATCTCATTAAGAAACACCACCATAAAAACCCTCTGAAGACTAAAATCATGACAGAATCGTCCTCTCCGATGTACATATGTGTGGTCCCCACTCCCATTTGCAGTGGAAGAGATGAGATGAAGGGTTTTCTTAATTTACCTTGTAGACAAGGAACTATGCTCATATTACAGATGGAAATGTTTCTAATAAAGGCTTCTAAAAGATTTTCAAACAGTTATGCAAACAAATAGCTATGAAGAGATGGCACTTAACAAGACATAAATATGATGTGCACATGCTAGGAGTCAGGTAGTGTGGGAGGCCTGGCAGTCTATGGGGCCTCTGGCAGTAGAACCAGTATTTATCCCTATTGGGAGCCCATTCCCTATGGAGGAATTCTATCTCAGCCTAGATACATGGGGGAGGACCTAGGCCCTGCCCCAAATGATGTGACAGACTTTGATGAACCCTTATGGGAGGCTTCACCCTCCCTGGGGAATGGATGGGGGGGGTGGGATGAGGGCTTGGTGGGGGGGCATCAGAGAACAGGAGGGAGAAGGAACTGGGATTGGTATATAAAATACAATTGTTTTTAATTTAAAAAGCCAGTATCCCATGCTGCAGCCTTACCTTTGGGCAAGCCCACTATTCTGGAGGTGCTCCTGGATTCTGTTCAGTTCCTCCACTGGCAACTGGGCCATGCTACTCTACACAGACAAGAACACATTAGGGATTTCATGACATATAACCTTACATCCATTTTAAAAAGATAAACTGCTATGCACAGTACATCTATTAAGAGCAGACTAGAAGCAGTTGGTCAGACATATGAACAACAAACATGGCATACATGCTACTATCAGTAGCCAATCAATTGCAGGTGATAGACTAAATGTTTTGATTGACTTGCTAAGTTTTTATATAAATCACCATCTTTCAGTACCTGTAAATTTGCAGCCAAAAGCATTTCTACCCGGCGACAGGCCAGAGTGTCGACCATGCGAGCCAACGCACGGAAGGGAGTTCCCAGGAGCCTGTCCACATATAGTGTAAGCACAGCACCAGACTGGCTGAGATGGATGCCTTCTAAGCACTGAAGTGTTTTCTTCAGAGTGGTTGGCTAATGTTGAAAGGAACAAGAATTTTTTTCTCAGAATGGTAATGGTACTGACAAAATTCCAGTATTCATTTTTAAGGCAGAGAAAGCAAACTAGCAGGCTAAAGACTTACAGCTGAAAGATTTTCACAACGAGACTGGATTGCCTGGATGAAAAGGCCACTAGCTGCAGAATTACGATGAATGGCACTAATAAAGTCTTGTACTGGAGGCTCATGAGACAGGCTGATCAGATCTTGAATGTGATTCACAATGAGCCATGTTAAGTGTTCTGAGTCATGAAGATTCTGACACTAGAAAAGATATAATAAAAGATATATTTCAAGGAGACAAGGAGGCTAGAAAGAGTAAGAAAAGACAAATTCCATAAACAAACTTTGCCTCAGTGAAGGTAGTGTCTAAGCACAAGTAAATGAGAGAAAGGAAGGAAGGAAACTTAGTTACAGAGCCTTGTACCTCTGATGTCATGTGGTAAAAGCCAAGCCCCAATGGCAATGTCCAGCTCCCAGGGACACTAGCAAATAGCTCAACATTATAATGAATAAAAGAAGCACTGACTCCTTGGACAAGTCAAGGGGTAGCTTGGTGAGCAGTCTGATGCAGCCTCTCCCTAGTGACTGGCTGGGAGCTTGCATGCACAGGAACGAAGGAAGCCCCATGTTACAGTAATTGAACTTGCCATCGTACTGCAGGCCAGCCTAGCACGGGCTCTTCCACACCTACTCTGTCTCCAATGGTTAGTGGAGAAAACAGTCACTAACTGCCATGGAGCTGACAGACTTCCTCAATCAAAAAATAGATCTCCCCAGGACATGGGAGAAATTTCACTTGAAATATTTTTAAATCCATTAAAAACACACGTAGCCTTTCCACCTTAATTCATAATCCTAGATAAAAGCCAAAACCTGATCAACTGACATCTAGTTAATGGTAATATTTTCAATTTGGAACCATTTGATAGTACTAACATACAAAATTATCCTTAATTTTCCTTACTTTTGTGAAAAACACCATTATATCATATTATCTCTCAAAAGTAGAACAAAATATAAAAACTATTTCAATATTGATGTCAAGTAAAAAGTAAATATTAAACATACCTATAACTGCAACACTCAGAAGGCTGAGGTAGGAGGATTATGAACATATAGCCTATTCTGTACAATGCACCCTGGCTCAAAAACTAACAGTGAATATTAGTAAAGGTCAATACCATAGGACTGCCTCTGCTCACAGCTGGCTCCATATTTTTTTATTTTTAAATTTGGTTCAGATTTTTTGTTTGTTTTTTTCAAGACAGGGTTTCTCTGTGTAACAGCTCTGGCTGTCCTGGAACTCACTTTGTAGGCCAGGCTGGTCTTCAACTCAAACAGAGATCCACCTGCCTCTGCCTCCTGAGTGCTGGGATTAAAGGAATGTGCCACTACCGCCTGTCTGGTTCAGACTTTTAAAAATCATTCTGCTCTATGATAACAATGTACATGTGATACCAAGTTTATTTAAAAAAAAAAAGCATTAAATCCAAATTAAAATGTAATCATAGCCTGGCGGTGGTGGCACACGCCTTTAATCCCAGCACTCGGGAGGCAGAGGCAGGCAGATCTCTGTGAGTTCGAGGCCAGCCTGGTCTCCAGAGCGAGTGCCAGGACAGGCTCCAAAGCTACACAGAGAAACCCTGTCTCAAAAAAACCAAAAAAAAAAAAAAAAAAAAAAAAAAGTAATTGTAACTTATTTTAGACCAATATGATTATAGAAGGCTTGCTTTCATAAATCAAACATGTGATGCTAATTTTTTAGTTAAAAATTCCACAAAAGTGATTGTTTTTAAAAAGTGGTAGTCAAAAGAAAATCTATTCTGAATTCCAACGATATTTATTAACACCTTTCCTGCAAAATAACTGGAAAAAATTAGCCAAAACCCCACAACAGTCAGTGCACTTAGCTTTGTTAAAATCATGTAGTGTTTGCCGAGCTTGGTGGTACACATCTTTAATCCCAGCAGTCATCAGGCAGAAGGAGGGGTATCTCTGAGTTTGAGACCAGTCAGGTCTCCACTAGGAGTTTCAAGCTAGCCTGGCCTACACCTTAAGACAAAAACTGCTCAGCTATATGCCAGGCACTAAGTTCCTGGGAAGGTGATAAATAGTTATATCTGAATGAAAGCCTTTGAAGATCAACTTAGAAACTTAAGAGAGGATTAAAAAGCCCAGGCTGTTCCAATTAAACCCAGAATAAATCAAACATTGCTACCTCTCCTCAGTTTGATGTATCTGTGGGACAGTGAACAGTCTGGTTGCCCAGCAAGTGCATACAAGCAGCTTCTATGTGGTCATCTCCTCCTTTAACAACCCTCATGGACATTTATCACACTTACAACATAATCACAGAAGAGAATAAGGGCCCCTCTTCGCACTATTTCTCTATTGCACATTCCAAGTTGAGCTGCTGAACCAGAATCCTCCTCTTCTTCACCAAACATCTGGGGACTAAGTGACTTCGTGCAGGACAGACTGTGCCTTCTACAAAAAGTGAAAGATGCAATGAGAAGGTGTCTGGGATAGCAGTAAGCTTACATACACAATACTGAACATGGCTATGTTTGACTTTCCTTCTCAAACCCACAAGTTATTCCAAACATTTCTACATCAGACCAGTGTTGTGTGTTTAAGCACCTCAGACTTCTGTTTCTAGAAAACATTAAAGGACACAAGAAGGCTTAGCAGGCAGATGATTACAGTGCTTGACTGAAGAGCAAAATCTATAATAAAGCTGCAATTCCAACTAACATGTCCATTCCAGAACTCATACTGGCCATGTTTGATAATGGAGAAGTTGTTTTTTAAATTCCACATGTTCTACTGTCAAGGTGCCAGAGGGAAGCCCCACTTCATATTCCTGAGCAGGTCCCTGTTGTGGAATTATTGTTCTAAGTGTTTCCCCACTAAAGCAGTTATTCACTTGGTACTCCTTTCTCACTGCATTTTTTTCTTCTTTCTAAATACAGCCCTGGAGACTCCTGATTATAGCCAAATATTTAAAGCACAATGTCTGACACACTCCCACCACACCCTTCTGGCTTTTGCTCAATCTCTGTAGGGATAGAGGTCACAGGAGGGCAAGTACCTTTGAAATATGTTGACCAATCCTGGTACTCCTCAGTACTAAAAGACAACTGATAACATATTCTACAGGATAAAGTTTTGTTAAAGCTGCAGACATTCTAGTGACCATCTACAATGGGATCCTCTCACCAAATGCAAGGAATAGATCACAGATCATTACTACCACAGGAATAAACTTTAAACACATGGTGCTAATGAATAACCAGATGCAAGGATCAATTTATATGGAATTCTGCTCTGGGCACAGAGTATGCATGGATTGGTACTTACCATGGATGGGGGAAGGGATGACTAAAGGGTCAAGAGGGAACTGCCTGGAATGTTGGTACAGTGTGTATCTGACTATAGATACACAAAAGGCATTTTACCAGATATCCTATGTCAATTAAGAAACTGCTACACAGAACACATGCCCTTTCTCAGTTGGAGCTCTCACTCACAGCTACAAGTAGATCAAAGAACTTTTGAAGAATAGGTGGAATTTGCAATTAAGAAATTAGCAGGAGACATATGGTATGAATATGAAATGGTCCCTACTGGAATATAACAGCTAACATAAAAAGACAAACATCAATCAAATCATCATACAAATAATGCTCAATTATGGTCTTGCCACTTGCCACTGAGGAATAGAAACTATCTAGGAGCAGATCTTGAGACCTAACCAAATGAAGAAAAGTCATGGAAGGCTCCTCTGAAGAACACTGCTCTAAACCCAGAAGTGATGGTCTTCTAATTTTAATACATGGGGGTGGAAATAAACTGTAATTTCAGAGCTGGAGAGATGGCTTAGTGGGTAAGAGCACTGGTTGTTCTTCCAGAAGACCTGGGTTCAATTCCCAGCATCCACAATGGTAGCCCACAATTGTCTGTAATTCCAGTTCCCAGGGGTTTGGCACCTCACAAAGACATACATGCAGGAAAAACACCAATGCACACAAAATACATTTCAAAAAAAGAAACTATAATTTCAACTTTGAAAGACTACCAATAACTGCATTACAATAAAACCAATTTTTGTGGCCAATCCCAGATTCACCAACTCAAGAAAGCCTTTCTGTACACTCAAATCTATATAGCCCTTTTGGATAACTGGAACCATTATTTCTGTCATTAAAACCCCTCTTGAGCTGGCAAGACGGCTCAGCAAGTAAAAGCACTTGTTGCACAAGCCTTACAACCTGAGTTTGATCCTTGGATTCCACAATGGAAAGAGAGTACTGACTCCTCAAAGTTGTCCTCTGACCTCCAAATGTGGGCTAAGGCAGGTGCGCATGTACACACACACCATGAATAAAAATGAAAAGAAAATGTCCATGACCCCATTTCTTATAGCTCTAAGTCCCACTATAGTAAGCCTCCTCCTAAGAACTGGCGTCTCTTCCATCATCTTTTCCTCTTATTTTTTACTGAAAATGTCAAACCAACAGAAAAGCTGAAAGAACAATTTAATGAACAGCCCCATGCTTTTTGCCTACATTCAACTATTAATATTTGTACAACTCATTACATGGTACATACTCTGCATAAACACATACTACACACTCACATGAAACTTTATTACACACAGTCTGAATACTTGCACACGCACGCTTCTTCTGCTGCACCATGGAAGAGTTATTGTAGAGTACATTTCATTACAAATACTGCAGCAGTTGTCTCCTGAACATGCTTAGAGCTACAAAGCCACCACTCACACTAAGCTTATCCTTACATTTCCAACTACCCAATAATAATTATTCTAGCAGATCCAGAACACAATCAAGGATTCTAAAGTAAATTCACCTGTCCTATTTGTTTTCTTCAATTAACATAACATTTTTGTCTTTTAAGACAGACATTTCAGTGTATCCATGAGCATCTTAGTAGAGGATGGCCTCTAGCATCAACTAAGGTTGATCTCCTATTGTACAAACAATAGTATGACTTTTAATCCTTAACAGTATTGTACACCAATAGGGTGGGCAGATGTTGCTGAGAACTATTGTTTAGAGCAGGCTGGAGTCATTCTTACCTTCCTCCTACTTTCTTGGCTCGTCCATAGTTAACTTAGGCTTCACACCCTGTATCTTACCCAGCACAACTCAGTCTTGGGAGTCCATTAGACTCTCCTGAGAACTTATTACACACAAGTTCCCAGAGCCCAATTCTTTTTGTTTTTTACGTCTTTAAACACATAAAAAATTATTTGTGTGCTTGTGTATCACAGTGTGCCTATAAATGTCAGAGGATAACATGTTCAAAAATCAATTCTCTTTCTAGCATGTGGGTCTCAGGGATTGAACTTAAGTCATCAGGCTTAGCAGCAAGTACCTTTGGTTAAAGCTGCCAGTTTTTTGGGGGTGGCTGGTTTTTTCTTTCTTTCTTTTTTCTTTTTCATTCATTTTATATACCAACCACAGTTGTCTCTGTGCCGCACCCTCCCCCTTCAACTCCCAGGATTGTCAAGTTGGGAGAGGGATGGAGTGGGAGGGCGATGAAAGAGATTATCCTGATGGAGCCATTATGGATTAGAGAGAAACCTGGTGCTTGTTTTTCTTTTGTTGTTGTTGTTGTTTTGTTTTGTTTTGAAATACAAGTTTTTACTGTGTAGCCCTGACAGGTCTGGAGCTTGCTGTGTAGACCAGATTGGCCTTGAATTCAGAGGGTTTACCCGACTCTGCCTCTTGAGGCTTGAGATTAAAGACATACTCCACCATACCCAGCTCTGAGCTTTAATTTATAGCTACTACCCCTATCAAAGAAGCTTCTCTTTATAGTAAATGGAGACAATCATAGAAAACCACAACCGGACACAATGCAGAGAGAGATGGATGGACTGCTAGGGAGCCCAGCCCCAGTGGATACATCTGCATTACAGTTCCTGCGTCCGTGGCTCAGGGAACATTGTGGAAGAGGAGGTAGAAAGATTGTTAAGAGTCAGAATAGCAGAAAGTCTGATGTGAAGCAGTCTATGAGGGAAATGGATGCACAGACAAGACAATAACAAAGGCAATATCCATGGATACATTAATGTGGATGGGAAAAATTTCCTAGGATCTTATCCCTAGACAAAGAACTGTAGGTAGCTAATGACCGCTGGAAGAGAATTAGTCTCTCCCACGGATGAGCCTTATTGGTTGTCCAATGCAGAGTCAACCTTGAATCCATATATACACAAATAACAAAATCAGACACCACAGGTTGCATTTATATATACTTGTGCATACACTTATATACATACATAATACATGTATTTATGTAACAAATATAATCAAAGAAAAAGAATGTAAGAATGGGGGTATATAGAGGGACTTGAGGGAGGACACTTAGAAGCAGGGAAGTGATGTGATTCAATTTGAAAACATTTTTTAAATAAAATAAATAAACAGGAAAAATGAAAAAGAAAGGAATGAACACTAGTGGTGCTGAGAGCACCTGTGCTCAGAGCAGTCTGTGGAGCAGCAGCACTGGTAGCAGCAGGGGCTTGGGATATATGCAAATTCCTAGCCCCCAGCAAGCTTCCTGCACTGAAATGTTTTACACAGCTTCAAGGCTGATTTACATGTACATATAAGAATCAGAGAGCTAGGCTTCCTGTCCACTAGGCCTTACAATGCTCAGTGATTGTGTCAGGCCTAAGAGAACCTCTAACCATTTCAAATGATGCTGTGGGTGCCTCCCCAAGTAATCCCACATACAGACAGAAAGTAGCATTTCTATTTCTTTTGCAGACACCATTTAAGGAGCACATAGCAGATAGGCAATAATGTTCTTAACAGAATGTAAAAGTTGGGTCTGGATGGGAGCACCTGGTCTCCCTTCACCAGGCTGAGGAGTTAACCTCACTTATACTCTTCCTTAAGGAATTTTTCCCAACAAAGGCTCAAAAGTTGTCCAGAAACTACACCAAAGACTGGCTCATCGGGGCTCACAGCTTTTTACCTCTGAACATGTTCAGATATTTGATTGAGTGAGTTTCTGGACACTAAGATTTAAACCTAAAAACTCCTTGCAAAAAAGAGGGCCACCCATAACCAGAAACAGTCTATCTGGATAATAAAAATAAATTAATAAAATACTTCCAATCAGTTTTGAAATTTGCTAAATAATTACTTCATTATCTAAGAATACACAGAACACATTTAATCATAACAAAGTTAAGACATTGCAACATGTCTGGCTGTGGAACCAATGAAAGCCATAGGACATAGCAGGAGGGATAGAGCCTCACAAACATAGCCACATGATGGAACAGTGTCAAAGAGTTTGTCACAGTGAAAAATCACAGTGAAAAAGCAGCTGTTTAGTTTGAATGCCTGTAGCCAGACCACATTTCCCTACAAAACAGTACCCAAGAAAAAAAAGATTAATATGAAGCCAAAATTTTACAAAGCCTCATGAAGAATGGAAAATAAAAATGCCCTCATAGCAGCTAAGCCTCAGGCCAAACACTGGGTTGGTGCCTAGGCCTGGAAAGCTGTGCACCTACTTGGGTGTCTGCTGCACCTCTGCCCACCATCGGTGGTCAGTGTGGTTGATGAGCAGTAGGATCTGACACCAGAGCAGTACCAGAGCTGGGTGTGTGGGCACCATGGATCGCACCCGTGCATTCAGGCTCTCTAGAGTATAGAAGCTGCCTTCACAACCATCACTGGTGAAGAGTCTAGTGGCAGCTGCTGTGATTCTCCGGAACATTCCTAGAACCAAACAAAAATAAGTAAAACTGATTATGGGGAATGTCTCTACTGTTCATCATTACCCAGTACTAGGTAGCTAGGCATAGTACTTTCCCACACTTATATGTTTACAGCACTTGGCACTTAGAGAATTGTGACGTTAGTGTGTGTGCATGTGCTCATGGATATGTGTGGGTGCTTGTGTGTGTGTTGAAGTCAGAGGTTGATGTAGGATTGATATTGCTTCTCCACCTCATATTTTGAGACAAGGTCTCTCACTGAACCTGAGCTCACTGATTAGATAGACTGACTTCCGAGTGAGCCCTACAGATCTTGATCTCTCCAGCTGTCTGCAGGGATTACAGAAGCTGTGCCTGGCTTTTTACACAGGTGCTGAGAATCCACTCAGGTGCTCATACTTTGCATGGCAAGCACTTCACTGATAAGCCTTTCCCCCAGATCCAAACTCTAATTTTTCTAACCAGACACTAAACTTACTTAATAAGTCAGATCACTTTTGCCCTTCTGCTGATTGGCATTGCCTCATTCTCTAGGAGCTCCAAAACAGCCACTGGGGAAGCCTAAACATGGGTGGCCAGAAAGAACCAGCCAACATAGGGACAAAGGATTCAGGCCACAGTTGGGAGAACACAGAACTGAGCCACAGCCAGCAGACAGAATGGCATCCTACAACTCTTTGGCTAGCTGAGAATCAAGGGACAAAAACACAAGGGCTCAAGAGCACATAGGACAATTGTCAAGAGAATTGTCAAAATCACAAGGAGCTCCAAGAGCATATAGGATAATTGTCAAGAGAACTAAATATATCTTTATAATAAAGTATAGCTGATTTATTAAACCCTATCTTGAGACCAACCAAATACCTAAACACATTAGTTCTGTCACCTAGTGCCACATAAACAAGAGATATAAACATTTATATACAACTTAACAGCACTAGGGCAAAAGCATGACAGGTACTGCCAGAAGGGTGTACACATGCTGTATCATAAGGGAAGCCACTGACTGAATGATACCATGTAAGTTAATTAAAGTAAAAAAAAAAAAAAAATCACACAAAGTACCTCAGATAAACTGCATTTTAGTTACGCAGTCACAGAAGTAGCTAAAGTCCACTGTATCTGTGGATGATACATGACATGATACATACCAATTTCACGGCAAGTTTTGCTAGACAACACTGAAACACAACACATAGTAAAAATACTCCCCTGAGTGTTTTTACTATCTTGAGGTTTTTGAAGAAAGAAGGGGAAGAGTACAGCAACTGGAGGTTAAGTACCCAAACTACATGGCAGTCCGCTAGGTGAGCAGGACACAGCAGAGATCCAAGGAAGGTTAGAGAAAGCTCTTCAGGTATCAGAAACCAATCAGTAGAAAATACTAAGTGACCAACATACTAAAAACAACCCACTATTCATAAATAGGTATACTTTCTTGACTTTCAGTTTGCTGCAGTAGTCAATGAAGCATAAATCAAAAGATCTCTAAAGGCCAGGGCAGTGGCTCAGTGGGTAAAAACCCTTGCCACCCAAGATTGATGACTGATTTCCATTCCCAGGACCCATGTAAAATATCAGAGATGGTGATGTGCATCTAATTCCCACAGCAAGAGGGCACACAGAGACTGGAGGATTGGGGAAAAGCTCTTGTTGGCAGTGGAATAGCAGAAACAAGAGTCTGCCTCAAAACAAGGTGGAAAGAGAGAACAGACTCATGAGAAGTTGCCCTCTAACCTCCATATGCACACCCTGGCAATGACCCCCCCTCATACACACAAAACAAATAAGTAAATAAATTTTTAAATAACAAACAACACCTTTAAGAAGAAAAAAATCAGCATTAGGAATTAAGATAGTTTGAAACTAGCATCCATTATCAAAATTAAATTCTGGCACATCACTGTGCCAACAAATAAGGGAGGCAGTCCATTTAATTCCTCTTTCTCCATGGCTCACCTGAGCAGCCTGCTTTCCTCCCTACCCTGTTTCCAACTCCATTTCTCCTGTCTGCTCTCCAAAGGCTGATTCTGCTGCACACTTCAAGTTATCTTACCAGGCACCCTCAGAAACTGTTTATCGATAAACTGTTCAGATCTTCCTAGGTCAGTGGTTATGTACCACCCTCCCCACAGGCTGTGAAGCTCCACAACGACACGAAGTACATCTGCTTGTCTGACCCCAGGACACCATTGCCCAGGACAGACAGGTCAGAATATAAGTCCTGTTGGATGAAGGCTAAAGACAGTAACTACTTTTTACTCTAAGATACGTACATAAATGCACATACTTAAAATGCATATAGAAGGGGCTAGAGAGATGGCTCAGCGGTTAAGAGCACTGGCTGCTCTTCCAGAGGTCCTGAGTTCAGTTCCCACCAACCACATGGTGGCTTACAACCATCAATAGTGGGATCTGGCATAAAGGTATATATGCAGATAGAACACTCATACACATAAAACAAATCTTTTAAAAACTGCACATATAAATCCAAATATAGAGAATACATCCTAACTGGAGATAAACCCTGCTTCCACTTCCTGTTACTTCTGGCTTGGGCTCTAGAAATTGTCTCCAGAGTTCCAAATGATAGGCTGTTTTCATTGGCAGCAAACTATTAGTTCCTCACCTGTTCCTCTTCCTTTCACAAAGAAACCCATACCCTCAAGTGAAGGTTACTTAAGCTGGGTCAAAGCAGCCAGGAGCTCACAACTGCCTACGTGTGTGTGTATGGGGGGGAGGGGGTTAAACAAGGTCAATTAGTGTACTTCAGAGGCTCAGACCACTATGTCCAGAGGCCAACCTTCTGCCACATGAAATGAGTCCACTAGAGAGCAAGGCCAAGATAGAAAATATAGCTGGGACATGGAAATACACCACGGGACTATAGGATGAAAACACCATATCACACACTGCCCCCAATTAAACAAGTGTTATTATTATTTTTTTTTTTTAAAGACAGGTCTTCATATAGGTCAGGCCTGCCTCAAACCCATGTATCTGAGGATGACCTTAAACTTCTAATTCTGTCTCCACCTCCTGAATGTTGGGATTACAAGCAAGTAGTGAGATTGCAGGTGTGTGCCATCATGCTTAGGTTAGGTAGGAATCAAAACCAGGATTCTGTACGTGCTTGGTTTTTGTATGTAGCTCCAATGGACCTACATTCCCAGAAATGAATCTTTAGGTTTTGTCTCATTTTTAATTTGTTATCGGTGAAGGGGTGCACATGTGCTACAGAATGTACGTGGAGGTCAGAGAATAACCTGAAATAGTTAATTCTCTCATTCTAACATGTGGGTCTTTGAGATTACACTCAAGTTGTTAGTATTGGTATTTATTAAGCCATCTTACTGGCCACCAATTATTTTTATTGTGGTAAAATACATATAAAATTTTATCACCTTGATAATTTTTAAATATAAAGCTTTGGTATTAAATGCATTTATGTTATACAACATTACCACCATCTATTTATAATTCTTTTCATCTTGTAAAACTGAAACCCTAAAGTCATTAAATTCCTCTCCTGAAGTCCTTGGCAACTACCATCCTGGTTTCTGAGAATCTCATATAAATGAAACACAATGTTTGTCTTTTTGTGTCTCTATTATTTTGTTTGACCCAGTGTCTTCAAGGGTCACCTATGTTGGCTTTTTAATTTTACTTTATGTATATGGGTGTTTTGCCTGCATGTATGTATGTGCACTTTGTGCATGCCGGGTGCTGGTGGAGTTTAGAAGAGGGCATTACTGGAACTGGAGTTACAGTTGATTGTAAACCTCTACAAAATACTGGGAAGCAAAGGTGGGTCTCATGCAAGAACAGAAAACACTTTTAACAGCTAAGCTATCTCAATTATCCCATGTTGTTTCTTATGTCAGAATTATTTCACTTTTTCAGGCTGAAAAATATTCCATGCAAAAACACATTTCACTCTATAACCTATGTATATGCCATATTTGGCTTATCAACCAGCCCACTAATAGATGCCAGAGTTGCTTCTAACATCTTAGCTATATAATGAATGCTGTTATGAAAACCAGTATACAGCTATCTTCCAAGCACTCTGTTCCCTATTCTTTCAGATATCTGCCTACCAATGTAATTGCTGGACCATATGTATCAGGTTCACTCCTATCATCATGTACTCACATGGCACAAGGAGTTTAGAGAACAGTTATCATGGGAAGAGGGCACTGCTGGAGACAGGGAACATGAAACACTATGAAGTCTAATCAGATCCACCTACCAGATTTGAAGATGTGGATCAGACACATGAGCAGTGTGCCCAGCTCTTGGCAGTAGAATGTATGCTGCTGTTCACTCATTTCCACTTTGAGCTGTTTTGTAACAATGTCTTCTAAAAGAATACCAACCAGCTGTAAAAGAAACCTTCCAAGAAAGGGAGCAAATAACAGCATATTAGGTCACTATCAGTGAGCTTATGCCAAGCACCAGTATGTAATAAAGACCATCAGTTTTTGCAAAGTAAAAAACCACTAGGGTGGTCCACTGAACAAAGTGAAAATGAAATGTTTCAGACCGCCGGACGTTGGTGGCGCACGCCTTTAATCCCAGCACTCAGGAGGCAGAGGCAAGCATATCTCTGTGAGTTCGAGGTCAGCCTGGTCTTCAGAGCGAGTGCCAGGATAGGCTCCAAAGCTACACAGAGAAACCCTGTCTCGAAAAACCAAAAGAAAAAAAAAAATGTTTCAGACCATTACTGTGGACTAAGTTTTTGTATCCCTCTATATAACCTTCCTCAAATATGTAATGGTAATTATACCACCTTCAAAAGCCCATCAAAACAAAATGACAAGAGGTTAATTTTTTTTTAAAGCTTTATCAGCTGCAAGAATGTTAGATAAAAAAGTGTTACATAAATACGAGCTGGTAATTCACCACAGGATTTTAGCTTAACATCAATTTTATCAACTCCTTCAACTTAACAGAGGGAGGGTAATGGGCTGCCAGTTGAACCTGCAAACAAAAAGGCAGTGTGTGGGTTTACAAGGAACCATGGGTATCTCTCCCTGAAAATATGGGAGGCTTTAAGGAGTATGTTTGTAGCACTACTCTAACAGAGTAAATGCTCCAGAAGTGGGCAGGTACTTCATGTAAAGTGTTGGCAAGTGCCTGAAAAGTAACCACTACGATTGCCCTTGAGGAGCTCCCACACTATGTGGGAGGGAACACATGAGCTGATCCTGCAGGTATCTTATAGATGCTATTCACCTTGGCAATGTGGTTCTTAAAGCAGCACATGGTTAAAACAAATCCAGGCCTGATTTTTCAGTGGCTTACCCTAGGTTTTTAATTACTCTACAGGCAATTCACCCCTTAACATGCTATATTCAGGGAAGGCCACCCCTGCTTAATCATGGTGAGCCACTCTTATCAAGTCTGTCACAAGGACAGAGCTAGAATGAGACAGAACCTTTAAAAAGGTGTGACGCAAGGCCATTGGTGAGGTAGTAGAGAATAAAAATTGGGTAAGGGGGTAGAAGAGATGGATTGGGGTTCATGAGAACTTGCTACTCTGGCAGAGGACCCAGGTTTGGTTCCTAGAACCTACGTAGCAGCTTCCAATTGCCTGAAACCCCAGTTTCAAGGGATTTAATGCCCTCTTCTGGTCTCCATGTGCACTCAGTATACTTACTTACACATAAGCAAAACACTCATAAACATTTAACAAAAAGAAATAAACCTAAAAAAAAAAAAAAAAAGACCTGAAGCCAGACCAGAAAATACTGTTAGCTGCTGCTGCTGCTCAGACACCATGGGACCAATCAAAAGACTCAGGTCAGTTTACAGGTTCAGAAAGAAAGCATACCTTGAGAATGTTTCTTCTGGCAAATTCTTTGTTTGTTTCCCTTCACTGCGTTCTCCTAGTGTTGAATTACTGTCTCCTTCCCTTAACCTGCTAATTACTGGACAAGAGATTAAATATGGCGAGAAGGAGAGTTCCTGAATACGAGAAAGAACGATATCTTCTGTTGATTGGGAAATGAGAACCCTCAGAATGGCTAGGATTCCAGATATCCACAGCTGCACAGTGCTTACAGATGCCTAAAAAAAGAGAGATAATATATATGTTAAAGCTAAGGAAAGATGATTAAATTTCCCTTTGTTGCCAATTCCAAGGATAAAAAATTACCCCAATTTACTACTTGACCAGAAAGTCCCTACAGTACTGGTTCCAGGTGTGGTCCTACAGCAGCAGGATCAGGCTCAGTTGGAAAATTGGAAAAAAGTTCCACTCACCAGCTGTGGCAACTCTGGTCTGGAAGCTGCCCTCCATTACACCAGTAGTGTCTGGTGAGACTCACCATTGTGCTTGGAGTGATGAACATACTCCGCAAAAGCATGTCCACAGGACGTAGGGAGGAAGGAGCCAAAATCTCAAACAAGGTATTTAACACTCCCAGGGCTTCATGAGAATCAATGTGCATCTAAGGAATTAAGCACCACAGACATTATCTGCGCAACCTGATGGGAATGCCAACTCCACACACATCATTCTTGCACGTCGAGAGCACACAATCACCACCATTCCTATTTTGTCCTCTCACTTAAAAGCATTTACTTTCAGCAGTAACCTCAATAAAGCTTCAAGACACCGTCTCCATTACAGCCCTCCCATCTTTCCTTTTCCTATGACTAGCTTCTTGTATCCAATTGGAGTGTTACAATCTCTGGGACTTTACATTGTTCTCTACTCTACCTGAAGCACTCTCTTGAAGGTATCTGATAGAATTGCCCTGTTCCTTCCTTCCTGCTTACTCAATGTCACCCCCTATGCGAGGCTTTCCATTTTGGTCATGGATTGAACAATGAATGCATTCTCCTACCATGACACTACCCACCCTCCTTGCCACAGATAACTACTACCCTCTGATACTTTATATGCTTCAATAATGTATTCTTTTATTGTCTGTCTCAATGAAAGCGTCACTCTAAGGTGGGAGACCACTGCTTTTCAATACATTTTGTTCAGTCAAGTATTTTCTATCAGTCCCTGCCATACTGCCTACATATGATGACATAATTATTGATATGGTATGCCTACAAGTGTATATGAAATGAGGAGAACTTCATCCACAGGGGGTTTCACTCAAAGCATGGACAGAGCTTCATCTGGCAGCTGCACAGGCTTTCTGGTAGGGCTGTCTATAGACGGGCTCTGTCTGTTCTCTATCTTCTATTGTGATGGGGCTATGGTGAAAGCCACATAGACTTCTTGAGGCCCACATGATCCAGGAGTCAGGGCTGCGTGTTTCCACAAAATGTAGAACAGCCAGACCATTGCAGTTTCTGAATTAACTAGTAATGATTACAGAAATTCTGAGCAAGTGATGAATAACTGCTAGGTTACTTTTTTAAGTGATAAGAAAAGTGAAAAATCACAAAGAAAGCTAAAGATCAAATAAAATATCTGACTGACTAGAATAAAGGAGTCAGAATAATAAGTAAGTACTCAGTTTTTAAGTCAGAACTGGGCCAACCAACTACAGACCCTGCACCCTCAAGAGCTGCGAAGATGAAAACCTTAATAACCTCTCTGACCCTTAGTTCCCCCACTTGTAAAATGAGAAGGTAATTTCAACCTTAAAGGGTAATGGGAATAAAAGAAGCCACTTGCCCCACGAGCAGCAATATGAGCAGTTTTCAAAGCAAGAACCAACCTTTATAAGCACAACCAACCTTTATAAGCATCTCCGCCTACTCTAAAACAAATCACACTACATGGTGGCAAACCAGGGCCATGGTGACAAACCTGCTGCTTGGCTAACATAGGCAGGATGATGTCCGCAACCTGCCGAGACAGCCGTTTCCACTTGTCCTCATTCTCCTTGTGGCACTGCTGCAGGACAAGGATGAACATCTCCAGCACCTGCAAGAATGTAGGATCAGAGTACTTTCTGGCCCAGGGCCCTCTACCTTCCCATGTCCCACACTGGTCCCAGCTCAGCTAGGCAGATCTAGGGTTCAAAGAAATATAATCCCCAGTGAAGACTGAGGAAGTCACACAATCTTCACTCTGTGATATGTGAATGTGAAGCAGACAAAAAAACACAAGAGATGCAGGAAGCTCCAAGGGCATGGGTGAGCCATGCTGGGCTCAGGAAGACTCGTGATCAGTATTATTTCTATGGATTATAATATTTCAAGAACAAAGAAGAATCAAGTGAAGATCAAACTTACATTAATCTGTAGGAGAACTCAAAGACAGCCTTGACTAAACACTCTGTGGACACCTTAATGTTCCTATTAACTTTAATGATTTTTTAAAATGTGCATCAGTGTTTTGCCTACATGTATGTCTGTCTGTGTGAGGGTTAGGATTCTTCAAAACTGGAATCACAGGTGGTTGTGAGCTGTCATGTGGGTGCTGGGAATTGAACCCAGATCCTCTGAAAGAGCAGCCAATCCTCTTAACCACTGAGCCATCTCTCCAGCCCTTCTATATACATTAAATTCACCTCAGTGTTCTTTGCAAAGGCAATCTATTTTCGACTGGCCCTCACAACAATCATTAAAACTGAGTGTAAGTTTATTGGTAGTCATTTTGGTCATTCTAAACAGATGTATTTGTGATCTAGAAGAGGTTTATAAAACACACCTGACCCACTGCCCATCTTGTAGATAAAGTCTTATTGGAACATACCCATGCCATCTGTATACACATTGCCTGTATCTACCTTCATGGTACAATAGACCAGGAAGCCCACAAAGTCTGCAATGCTGATTAGTTTGTGATTTATAGTAAAGAGTCTGCTAACCCCTGAATTATAAAATGTGACTGCTATAAAAGAAGAATATCACCTCAGGGACATCCTCAAAGCGGCCTTTCTTCAAGGTGCAAGCGCAGTGCTTATGCTACACAAGAACCTCACCTCGCTTTAGTTCATGGGCATTCAAGGGTCTCCATGGGGCCCCATGATGAGACTGCTGAACATCCACAAGTGGTATACTCTTCCCCAAGGCACTACCAGCCCTGCCATGCTTGCCAGGGTCATCTGCTTACTCTCAAACTACTTTATGCCTCTTGTATTTTTATTGTAGTCATGTGATTTAACTAAGTATTAAGTATTTAATTAAATATTACAAAGATTGATCAAAACATAAATGTAACAAAAAAAGCTCTCTTTCTTTGAGAAAGGCTTGTGGTTTTATGAAGATCCAGAGACAGCTGAAAGGAACTAAAAAATAAGGGAGGGACAGGCAAAAGCACAAGTTTAAAAGGGACAAAAATTAAGAAAACTGAATTTCCACACATGGGCTGACTCAAAGCATTTAAAATCCATGTTCCAGCTTAAGGAAAACAAAACTAGAAAAGAGCATGCGCGCACACACAAACAACCAAACACCAACACACAAACCAACAACAACACAAGC